GGCCTGCTAGTACTCACTTTATTTCAGCACATTATCTCTAAAGGCCTGCTAGTACTCACTTTATTTCAGCACATTATCTCTAAAGGCCTGCTAGTACTCACTTTATTTCAGCACATTATCTCTAAAGGCCTGCTAGTACTCACTTTATTTCAGCACATAATCTCTAAAGGCCTGCTAGTACTCACTTTTCCCCAGCACATTATCTCTAAAGGCCTGCTAGTACTCACTTTATTTCAGCACATAATCTCTAAAGGCCTGCTAGTACTCACTTTATTTCAGCACATAATCTCTAAAGGCCTGCTAGTACTCACTTTTCCCCAGCACATTATCTCTAAAGGCCTGCTAGTACTCACTTTATTTCAGCACATAATCTCTAAAGGCCTGCTAGTACTCACTTTATTTCAGCACATAATCTCTAAAGGCCTGCTAGTACTCACTTTTCCCCAGCACATTATCTCTAAAGGCCTGCTAGTACTCACTTTATTTCAGCACATAATCTCTAAAGGCCTGCTAGTACTCACTTTTCCCCAGCACATTATCTCTAAAGGCCTGCTAGTACTCACTTTTCCCCAGCACATTATCTCTAAAGGCCTGCTAGTACTCACTTTTCCCCAGCACATTATCTCTAAAGGCCTGCTAGTACTCACTTTTCCCCAGCACATTATCTCTAAAGGCCTGCTAGTACTCACTTTTCCCCAGCACATTATCTCTAAAGGCCTGCTAGTACTCACTTTTCCCCCAGCACATTATCTCTAAAGGCCTGCTAGTACTCACTTTTCCCCAGCACATTATCTCTAAAGGCCTGCTAGTACTCACTTTATTTCAGCACATAATCTCTAAAGGCCTGCTAGTACTCACTTTATTTCAGCACATAATCTCTAAAGGCCTGCTAGTACTCACTTTTCCCCAGCACATTATCTCTAAAGGCCTGCTAGTACTCACTTTTCCCCAGCACATTATCTCTAAAGGCCTGCTAGTACTCACTTTTCCCCAGCACATTATCTCTAAAGGCCTGCTAGTACTCACTTTATTTCAGCACATTATCTCTAAAGGCCTGCTAGTACTCACTTTATTTCAGCACATTATCTCTAAAGGCCTGCTAGTACTCACTTTATTTCAGCACATTATCTCTAAAGGCCTGCTAGTACTCACTTTATTTCAGCACATTATCTCTAAAGGCCTGCTAGTACTCACTTTATTTCAGCACATTATCTCTAAAGGCCTGCTAGTACTCACTTTTCCCCAGCACATTATCTCTAAAGGCCTGCTAGTACTCACTTTTCCCCAGCACATTATCTCTAAAGGCCTGCTAGTACTCACTTTTCCCCAGCACATTATCTCTAAAGGCCTGCTAGTACTCACTTTTCCCCAGCACATTATCTCTAAAGGCCTGCTAGTACTCACTTTTCCCCAGCACATTATCTCTAAAGGCCTGCTAGTACTCACTTTTCCCCAGCACATTATCTCTAAAGGCCTGCTAGTACTCACTTTATTTCAGCACATTATCTCTAAAGGCCTGCTAGTACTCACTTTATTTCAGCACATTATCTCTAAAGGCCTGCTAGTACTCACTTTATTTCAGCACATTATCTCTAAAGGCCTGCTAGTACTCACTTTATTTCAGCACATTATCTCTAAAGGCCTGCTAGTACTCACTTTATTTCAGCACATTATCTCTAAAAGGCCTGCTAGTACTCACTTTATTTCAGCACATTATCTCTAAAGGCCTGCTAGTACTCACTTTATTTCAGCACATAATCTCTAAAGGCCTGCTAGTACTCACTTTTCCCCAGCACATTATCTCTAAAGGCCTGCTAGTACTCACTTTATTTCAGCACATAATCTCTAAAGGCCTGCTAGTACTCACTTTATTTCAGCACATAATCTCTAAAGGCCTGCTAGTACTCACTTTTCCCCAGCACATTATCTCTAAAGGCCTGCTAGTACTCACTTTATTTCAGCACATAATCTCTAAAGGCCTGCTAGTACTCACTTTATTTCAGCACATAATCTCTAAAGGCCTGCTAGTACTCACTTTTCCCCAGCACATTATCTCTAAAGGCCTGCTAGTACTCACTTTATTTCAGCACATAATCTCTAAAGGCCTGCTAGTACTCACTTTTCCCCAGCACATTATCTCTAAAGGCCTGCTAGTACTCACTTTTCCCCAGCACATTATCTCTAAAGGCCTGCTAGTACTCACTTTTCCCCAGCACATTATCTCTAAAGGCCTGCTAGTACTCACTTTTCCCCAGCACATTATCTCTAAAGGCCTGCTAGTACTCACTTTTCCCCAGCACATTATCTCTAAAGGCCTGCTAGTACTCACTTTCCCCCAGCACATTATCTCTAAAGGCCTGCTAGTACTCACTTTCCCCCAGCACATTATCTCTAAAGGCCTGCTAGTACTCACTTTCCCCCAGCACATTATCTCTAAAGGCCTGCTAGTACTCACTTTCCCCCAGCACATAATCTCTAAAGGCCTGCTAGTACTCACTTTTCCCCAGCACATTATCTCTAAAGGCCTGCTAGTACTCACTTTTCCCCAGCACATTATCTCTAAAGGCCTGCTAGTACTCACTTTCCCCCAGCACATTATCTCTAAAGGCCTGCTAGTACTCACTTTCCCCCAGCACATAATCTCTAAAGGCCTGCTAGTACTCACTTTTCCCCAGCACATTATCTCTAAAGGCCTGCTAGTACTCACTTTTCCCCAGCACATTATCTCTAAAGGCCTGCTAGTACTCACTTTCCCCCAGCACATTATCTCTAAAGGCCTGCTAGTACTCACTTTCCCCCAGCACATAATCTCTAAAGGCCTGCTAGTACTCACTTTCCCCCAGCACATAATCTCTAAAGGCCTGCTAGTACTCACTTTTCCCCAGCACATTATCTCTAAAGGCCTGCTAGTACTCACTTTCCCCCAGCACATTATCTCTAAAGGCCTGCTAGTACTCACTTTCCCCCCCAGCACATAATCTCTAAAGGCCTGCTAGTACTCACTTTCCCCCAGCACATAATCTCTAAAGGCCTGCTAGTACTCACTTTCCCCCAGCACATAATCTCTAAAGGCCTGCTAGTACTCACTTTCCCCAGCACATTATCTCTAAAGGCCTGCTAGTACTCACTTTTCCCCAGCACATTATCTCTAAAGGCCTGCTAGTACTCACTTTCCCCCAGCACATTATCTCTAAAGGCCTGCTAGTACTCACTTTTCCCCAGCACATTATCTCTAAAGGCCTGCTAGTACTCACTTTCCCCCAGCACATTATCTCTAAAGGCCTGCTAGTACTCACTTTCCCCCAGCACATTATCTCTAAAGGCCTGCTAGTACTCACTTTTCCCCAGCACATTATCTCTAAAGGCCTGCTAGTACTCACTTTCCCCCAGCACATTATCTCTAAAGGCCTGCTAGTACTCACTTTCCCCCAGCACATTATCTCTAAAGGCCTGCTAGTACTCACTTTCCCCCAGCACATTATCTCTAAAGGCCTGCTAGTACTCACTTTCCCCCAGCACATAATCTCTAAAGGCCTGCTAGTACTCACTTTCCCCCAGCACATAATCTCTAAAGGCCTGCTAGTACTCACTTTCCCCCAGCACATAATCTCTAAAGGCCTGCTAGTACTCACTTTCCCCCAGCACATAATCTCTAAAGGCCTGCTAGTACTCACTTTTCCCCAGCACATTATCTCTAAAGGCCTGCTAGTACTCACTTTCCCCCAGCACATTATCTCTAAAGGCCTGCTAGTACTCACTTTCCCCCAGCACATTATCTCTAAAGGCCTGCTAGTACTCACTTTTCCCCAGCACATTATCTCTAAAGGCCTGCTAGTACTCACTTTCCCCCAGCACATTATCTCTAAAGGCCTGCTAGTACTCACTTTCCCCCAGCACATTATCTCTAAAGGCCTGCTAGTACTCACTTTCCCCCAGCACATTATCTCTAAAGGCCTGCTAGTACTCACTTTTCCCCAGCACATTATCTCTAAAGGCCTGCTAGTACTCACTTTTCCCCAGCACATTATCTCTAAAGGCCTGCTAGTACTCACTTTTCCCCAGCACATTATCTCTAAAGGCCTGCTAGTACTCACTTTCCCCCAGCACATTATCTCTAAAGGCCTGCTAGTACTCACTTTATTTCAGCACATTATCTCTAAAGGCCTGCTAGTACTCACTTTTCCCCAGCACATTATCTCTAAAGGCCTGCTAGTACTCACTTTCCCCCAGCACATTATCTCTAAAGGCCTGCTAGTACTCACTTTATTTCAGCACATTATCTCTAAAGGCCTGCTAGTACTCACTTTTCCCCAGCACATTATCTCTAAAGGCCTGCAAGTACTCACTTTTCCCCAGCACATTATCTCTAAAGGCCTGCTAGTACTCACTTTTCCCCAGCACATTATCTCTAAAGGCCTGCTAGTACTCACTTTTCCCCAGCACATTATCTCTAAAGGCCTGCTAGTACTCACACCCAGATTTGTAGAACACATTTCATGGCTGCATCAATCTACAATTTGTCAGTACCATCACATTTCACAAATTAACATATATGGCTGTGTTAGGCTGTATGGGCTCAATTTGGTTGTACACATTTCATGACTCGATCATATTATACACATTTTATAGCTTTGACATATTATATACATTTTATAGCTTTGACATATTATATACATTTTATAGCTTTGACATATTATATACATTGCATGAATCTATCATTTGTCAGAATTATTGTACATATTATATGGCTCCATTAGGCTGTACACATTGGATGACTCCTCTGGGTGGTAGAAATGTTACATAATATATGGCTCCCGTATTTTATACTACTTTCACAGCCAGGCTATGTTAAACACTTTTTATCAATAGCTTGCATACGTACGGTATGTACTTACAGATTTACAGGCACAGGTGTGCACACAAATAATAATATCAATGACCGCAAAGATTGAAACAAAACACGTGCAACTCTACAGAACAGAACAAGTTGAACTCTACAATCACATAGAGCTGTAAAAAGGGCCTTTTCCAAAACTAGGCTCAGATAATTTTGTCAGGGGATGTGATTTGCCTTGAAGTCTTCGGATTTTTCGTCCCTGGTCAGAGACCTGTCGCAGAGAAACATCATCATCCCCAGCAGGGAAACTGCTGTAGCTGCTTCTCTGCTTTGACCGCTGAAGCGTGTCAGAGGAGACAGATGCATGCCCCAGGTCAGACGCAGAGTGCGGAAACAGCTCCACGGAAGTGGGTCGAACGGATCTCCAAGTTTTTCTCTCTGTGCTCTCCAAACTTCTACGGTTGAAGGGAATTGGGCCCAGCCGTTTTGATGAAAAGTCTGCAGACATGTCCTTGACATTGCTGGAGCCTGTAGACAGCTCATGAAGTTCCACAGGGATGTCACAAGTGAGAGCGTTTGTCATGACCACGTCTGCTGAGCAGGAGGCACTGTCCAGGGACATGTGTTTCTTGTGAAGAGGCAGCCGAGGTGATGCCAAAAGTCTAGATGGTGGTGAAGTAGCCAAGAGATCAGTACTTGCAGCAGAAGATGAGAGTTGAAGTGCTGGACAACTGTCCACGGATCTGTAGGATGAGAGAAACGATGAAACTACGGATTGTCTTGCTGTGTCCTCCAGATAAGAATGTATGAGATTTTGCTCCCTATGAGATCTCGATGAAGCCGACTGGGAAGATACAGAAATGTTTTTACAATCTTTAGGTTTCAAGATCAGGTCATGGCTGGTGTCTGATGAAACCCTGTCCGGTTCTGGACTCCTGTTTTCGAAGCGGCCTACAAGATGCCTCACCACAGACAGCTCTAAAGATTCCTGTACAAGACTGTGGCCTGGTGAGCGTGGACTGGTTGAGGAGTCTGGCTGCCTCATCTCAGGCTTGACTGAGATCTGTTCCTGACTTTCATTCACAGGTGAAGACAACGAGATCTTCCCAACATCTTCAAGCATCGGACTTGATACCTGTTGTGGAAGACATGCTGAGCTGTCTAACTTCAAGAACAAGTTCTGTCTAGAAGATCCACTTCCGCTTGGGTCACTGGTTTTTACAATGTTCTCCTGAGACTGTTTCAACTGCACACTGACTTCTGACTGGACATGTGTCAGCAAATTAGCTACATCAGCAGATGTTGACCCTGTAACCTCTGACGGCTTCCTGCTTTTGGCAAGGACAGCAGCATTCAAAGAGACAAGAAGTGCTCTGTTGCAGCTGGCTGTCTCTGTTTCTGACAAAAACTTCACTTGAAAAGCTTCATCTTTCATGGGAGAGACAATCTTCTCAGCTTCATCTTTCATGGGAGAGACAATCTTCTCAGCTTCATCTTTCATGGGAGAGACAATCTTCTCAGCTTCATTCTCAGCAGAAGCTACTACCTGCATTTCTATCTGAGGGGAATCTACTCCCTGGTTTTCTATCTGAGGGGAATCTACTCCCTGGTTTTCTATCTGAGGGGAATCTACTCCCTGCTTTTCAATTTTCCTGACAAAATATTTCACCATGTTTGCACATGACTGCATGTCTGAATCATCAAACTGAGAGGGGCTTGAGCTAACTAGCAATGAGGAGGCCATTTCTTGAACCAAACTGTCTGAATCAAAACTGTCCCTGGCTCCGCTAGTACAAGATGGCTGAGAGTCTGAATGTCTGTTTTCAGCATTTTCCTTGCCCACAGTTGCACAAGAAGTTAGCACACTTGAGGGTGATGATGATGGCATGAGTGAGAATGATGCTCCAGCAGACCTGACTGAGCTAGAGCTGGCTGACTTGATGACTGCTTTAGGCTGGACAATGTCTGTCTCACATCTGTGCTCCAACTCTGCAAAGTTTATCAGACAGTCAGACAGTTTATTTCTATTTCAATGTCTGTATTAGACAGATATAACAGATTCAAAACTCTAATGAGACGAGGAAAATAAGAAAGGACAATGTTATGATGAGATGTTCTCTTGAACAAGGTGAGGGAACTAACATTGGACAAAGTTATGATGAGATGGTCTTCTGAAAGAGGTGAGGGAACTAACAATGGAGACAGTTATGATGAGATGTTCTCTTGAACAAGGTGAGGGAACTAACATTGGACAAAGTTATGATGAGATATTTTCCTGAACAAGGTGAGGGAACTAACAATGGACAAAGTTATGATGAGATAGTCTCTGAACAATGTGAGAGAACTAACATTGGACAAAGTATTGATGAGATATTTTCCTGAACAAGGTGAGGGAACTAACACTGGACAAAGTTATGATCAGATATTCTCCTGAACATGGTGAGGGAACTAACAATGGACAAAGTTATGATGAGATAGTCTCTGAACAATGTGAGAGAACTAACATTGGACAAAGTATTGATGAGATATTTTCCTGAACAAGGTGAGGGAACTAACACTGGACAAAGTTATGATCAGATATTCTCCTGAATAAGGTGAGGGAACTAACAAAGGACAAGGGGGAAAATAACTGGAGAGGAGACTATGCCTGCCAAGGAAAAGTTCCCGGATGAGACTATGCCTGCCAAGGAAAAGTTACTGGATGAGACTATGCCTGCCAAGGAAAAGTTACTGGATGAGACTATGCCTGCCAAGGAAAAGTTACTGGATGAGACTATGGCTGCCAAGGAAAAGTTACTGGATGAGACTATGCCTGCCAAGGAAAAGTTCCTGGATGAGACTATGCCTGCCAAGGAAAAGTTACTGGATGAGACTATGCCTGCCAAGGAAAAGTTCCTGGATGAGACTATGCCTGCCAAGGAAAAGTTACTGGATGAGACTATGCCTGCCAAGGAAAAGTTACTGGATGAGACTATGCCTGCCAAGGAAAAGTTCCTGGATGAGACTATGCCTGCCAAGGAAAAGTTACTGGATGAGACTATGCCTGCCAAGGAAAAGTTACTGGATGAGACTATGCCTGCCAAGGAAAAGTTACTGGATGAGACTATGGCTGCCAAGGAAAAGTTACTGGATGAGACTATGGCTGCCAAGGAAAAGTTACTGGATGAGACTATGCCTGCCAAGGAAAAGTTCCTGGATGGCTAATAAACACAACATCTGTTAGAAGTGTTGGTAGTAGGTTAGGTGGACAGTTCTACACCTGCCTCACTCTGTGAGAAACAAGCAACTGACATTACAGCCCCTGACAGAAACAATGGAAGTTATGGTCCCTGAGACAAACAACTGACATTATGAACCCCTCAGACAAGCAACTGACATTATGACCCCTGAGACAAACAATGGAAGTTATGGCCCCTGAGACAAATAATTGACATTATGACCCCTGAGACAAACAACTGACATTATGACCCCTGAGACAAACAACTGACAATATGACCCCTGGGACAAACAATTGACATTTTGGCCCCGGAGATAAACAGTGAAAGTTATGGCCCCCTGAGATAAACAATGTAAGTTATAGCCCCTGAGACAAACAACTGACATTATGACCCCTGAGACAGACAACTGACATTATGACCCCTGAGACAGACAACATGACCCCTGAGACAAACAACTGACATTATGGCCCCTGAGATAAACAATGAAAATTATGGCCCCTGAGATTAACAACAGAAGTTATGGCCACTGAGACAAAGAATGGAAGTTATGACCTTTTGATGAGTTTGTTTACACAATAAATGACACAGATGATATCTCTCTAGTGGCACAAATAACTTACTGTCAATGTCTTCACTAGTATCTTCAATGTGACCAGATGACTCCGGCACTGTAGGCCTTGAGTTTGCCAGGTCATCATCAGGTGACTGAAGGTCAAGCAGGCACTTATCTGGATATATGATATGCCCGGTTGTAAACCGCCGGTTATCTGTGTATCTGCAGTGGGGCAGGCCTCTCTGTAGTTTGAGGCTGAACGAGCGATCGACTAAACATGGAGTCTGAGCCACTTCCTGGTCACCTTCCCCACACAGCCTGTGTGAGAGGGCACAAATGTGAGGTGATCACAGATGAGAAACAAATGTGAGGTGATCACAGGTGGGAAACAAATGTGAGGTGATCACAGGTAGGAAACAAATGTGAGGTGATCACAGGTAGGAAACAAATGTGAGGTGATCACAGGTAGGAAACAAATGTGAGGTGATCACAGATGAGAAACAAATGTGAGGTGATCACAGGTAGGAAACAAATGTGAGGTGATCACAGGTAGGAAACAAATGTGAGGTGATGACAGTTAGGAAACAAATGTGAGGTGATCACAGGTAGGAAACAAATGTGAGGTGATCACAGTTAGGAAACAAATGTGAGGTGATCACAGGTAGGAAACAAATGTGAGGTGATCACAGGTAGGAAACAAATGTGAGGTGATCACAGGTAGGAAACAAATGTGAGGTGATCACAGGTAGGAAACAAATGAGAGGTGATCACAGGTAGGAAACAAATGTGAAGTGATCACAGGTGGGAAACAAATGTGATGTGATCACAGGTAGGAAACAAATGTGAGGTGATCACATGTGTGAAGGTTAACTTTACTGTGGTCATGAATGCCTGCTTGGCTTCCTGAACTGTTTGGCCAGCCACTCGTCGGACTTGACCACAGATTCATCACATTGTAAAATAAAACCAACAAGGAACATGGCAAGTCTGCTAGTTACTGCACCTTCATAAATAGTGTGTGTTTAATCAATGGGACATGTCTCCTCATATCTGAACACTTTAAATAGTGGGTGCACAATCAATGGAACATGTCTTCTCATGTCTGAACACATTAAATAGTGGGTGTTCAATCAATGGGACATGTCCTCACGTCTGAAAACTTTAAATAGTGGGTGTACAATCAATGGGTCATGTCTCCTCATGTCTGTACACTTTATATAGTGGGTGTACAATCAATGGGTCATGTCTCCTCATGTCTGTACACTTTATATAGTGGGTGTACAATCAACGGGACATGTCTCCTCATGTCTGTACACTTTAAATAGTGGGTGTACAATCAATGGGACATGTCTCCTCATGTCTGTACACTTTAAACAGTGGGTGTACAATCAATGGGTAATGTCAGTTAATGTCTGTACACTTTAAATAATGGGTGAACAATCAATTGGTAATGTCTTCTCATGTCTGAACACTTCAAATAGTGGATGTTCAATCAATTGGACATGTGTCCTTATGTCTGAACACTTTAAATAGTGGGTGTACAATCAATGGGTAATGTCACTTCATGTCTGAACATTTTAAATAGTGGGTGTACAATCAATGGGTAATGTCACTTCATGTCTGAACACTTTAAATAGTGGGTGAACAATCAATGGGTAATGTCTCCTCATGTCTGAACACTTACCCTTGTCTCTCCTCCACCTCTAGCCAAGTTCGTAAGCGTGAGACTGTGCCAGGTATCAGTGGAATCTCTTCTCTCTGGTACACAGACAACTGGGCCTGGTCACACTCCTGCGAGCCGCTCAGTTCCACACAACTTAGAGACTGGCACAGAGATGTGGCGGGCCGGGGCTCTGATGTATGCTCTAGCAGACTGCAGTCATCATGTGTCTCTGTTGAGGTGAAACAACATGTCAAGGTCAGGCAATAGGTTGTGTCAGCTTGACCAAGCTTTTAACTGGGGGTCAACAGTTAAACAATCAGCATCAACAGTCAAGACATAAGTTGCCAGAAGAGCCTCAAATGCATCAAGAGGTTCATCAACGAACATTAAATTAGCCCAACTGGTTACTGTATTTTGAGGTTATTCCAGAGGTGACAGAAATCAAGCCCTAGAAACATTATTTAATTGACACCTGTCAAATATGTTCCCTAGAAACATTGATTAACTGACACCTGTCAAATATGTCCCCTAGAAACATTGATTAACTGACACCTGTCAAATATGTCCCCTAGAAACATTGATTAACTGACACCTGTCAAATATGTCCCCTAGAAACATGATTAACTGACACCTGTCAAATATGTCCCCTAGAAACACTGATTAACTGACACCTGTCAAATATGTCCCCCTAGAAACACTGATTAACTGACACCTGTCAAATATGTCCCCTAGAAACATTGATTAACTGACACCTGTCAAATATGTCCCTAGAAACACTGATTAACTGACACCTGTCAAATATGTCCCCTAGAAACATTGATTAACTGACACCTGTCAAATATGTCCCCTAGAAACATTGATTAACTGACACCTGTCAAATATGTCCCCTAGAAACACTGATTAACTGACACCTGTCAAATATGTCCCCTAGAAACACTGATTAACTGACACCTGTCAAATATGTCCCCTAGAAACATTGATTAACTGACACCTGTCAAATATGTCCCCTAGAAACATTGATTAACTGACACCTGTCAAATATGTCCCCTAGAAACATTGATTAACTGACACCTGTCAAATATGTCCCCTAGAAACACTGATTAACTGACACCTGTCAGAACCCAATGAATTAAATTATATGACAGACTGGAAAATGAACAGTTAATGAAGAGAAACGAATCTATTGCAGGTAATCAAGAGGCTTGACAAAGATGCTGGAACTGGTACAACACTGACTGGGGAAAACTGATAATACATAAAACAAGTATTTCACTGCAACCCAGCCGGACCAAAAAAGGCATCAAGACTTTAAAAAAAAGACATGGAATATAGAAATAGAGATCAATCCTGTTGGTCATACTGGTCAGTGGTCACAAGAAAAAAGACAATAAATGTTACCTTTCATTTCAGGAACATCTTTGAAGGTTTTTCCTTTTTCCTCTTGCTCAATGTCCTGGTCTTGTGAAATCTGTCCTGTCTTGTTGATGTCTTCCTGCATCTTTCTCACCTGTAATGCATTATTGAACCAATATCTCACTGACCACACATTATGCCAACATTTTAACTGACCACACATTATGCCAACATTTTCACTGACCACAAACTATGCCAACATTTTCAGTGACCACACATTATGTCAACATTTTCACTGACCACACATTATGCCAACATTTTCAGTGACCACAAATTATGCCAACATTTTCAGTGACCATACATTTATGCTAACATTTTCACTGACCACACATTATGCCAACATTTTTACTGACCACACTTGATGCCAACATTTTCACTGACCACACATTATGCCAACATTTGCACTGACCACACATGATGCCAACATTTTCACTGACCATACATAATGCCAATATTTTCACTGACCACACATTATGCCAACAATTTCAGTGACCACACATTATGTCAACATTTTCACTGACCACACATTATGCCAACATTTTCACTGACCACACATTATGCCAACATTTTCACTGACCACACATTATGCCAATATTTTCAGTGACCACACATTATGTCAACATTTTCACTGACCACACATTATGCCAACAATTTCAGTGACCACACATTATGCCAACATTTTCAGTGACCACACATTATGCCAACATTTTCACTGACTACACATTATGCCAACCTTTTCACTGACCACACATTATGCCAACATTTTCAGTGACCACACATTATGTCAACATTTTCAGTGACCACACATTATGGCCACATTTTCACTGACCACACATTATGCCAACATTTTCAGTGACCACACATTATGCCAACATTTTCAGTGACCACACATTATGCCAACATTTTCACTGACCACACATTATGCCAACAATTTCAGTGACCACACATTATGCCAACATTTTCACTGACCACACATTATGCCAACATTTCCAGTGACCACACATTATGCCAACATTTTCACTGACCACACATTATGCCAACATTTTCACTGACCACACATTATGCCAACATTTTCACTGACCACACATGATACCAACATTTTCACTGACCACACTTGATGCCAACATTTTCACTGACCACACATTATGCCAACATTTGCACTGACCACACATGATGCCAACATTTGCACTGACCACACATTATGTCAACATTTTCAGTGACCACACATTATGTCAACATTTTCACTGACCACACATTATGCCAACAATTTCAGTGACCACACATTATGCCAACATTTTCACTGACCACACATTATGCCAACATTTTCACTGACCACACATTATGCCAACCTTTTCACTGACCACACATTATGCCAACATTTTCAGTGACCACACATTATGTCAACATTTTCAGTGACCACACATTATGGCCACATTTTCACTGACCACACATTATGCCAACATTTTCAGTGACCACACATTATGCCAACATTTTCAGTGACCACACATTATGGCCACATTTTCAGTGACCACACATTATGGCCACATTTTCAGTGACCACACATTATGCCAACATTTTCAGTGACCACACATTATGGCCACATTTTCAGTGACCACACATTATGGCCACATTTTCAGTGACCACACATTATGTCAACATTTTCAGTAACCACACATTATGGCCACATTTTCAGTGACCACACATTATGGCCACATTTTCAGTGACCACACATCATCCTAACATTTCCAGTGACCACACATTATGCCTAAATTTTCCTCAGCAACACCACAATTACCCCACTTTCTCAGTGAAAACATACTGCGGCAAATTTTCATCAGCAACACGACAAAATATGTCTGTTTCTGATCGACTGACAAGGCAAAAAGGGTCAGTCAATTCTACCACGGTGGCATCATTGATATTTGAGAGACACGTACCTTTCCTGGTTTCCAGGGTATCTTCTCTGGAATGAAGTACTGCCTGACTCCCAGTTCAAGGCCCTGGAGTGCCTTTGTACGGCTGCTGCTGGCAGTCCTAACAGCTTCTGTTTCTTCAGTCTTGGAACTGGAGTCCAGTGTTTGCCTGGATATCTCTGCTGATTCTTCTAGATGCTTATTAGCAACAGTGTGAGATGCACTCTCCTCTAGTTGTGATAGTTTCACTGCAGTGATGTGATTATCTAGTGAAGTTACACTGTCACTAGGCAGTGTCACGTGTGAATGTTTCTTGGAGCTTAAGTCAATGTTACTGTTTACTGTCCCTGGCTTTTTCATGTCCGTACCGGTCGTATGCTTCATATCCAGCAGACTGTGAATGTTTCCGATGTAGAAATGAACGTCTGATGAGTGTGCAGCAGGTGTGGTTTTCTCAGGTGAAAGACTGACCAGATGCGAGCTGGAGAATGGCAAATAAGGCAGTGATGTTGTAGCAGGAGCTGCCTTTGATTCCCCAGAGGTTCCTGGCAGAAAGTGGGTCTCTGCCAATTGTGACGCTGCTTCAGAAAGTTTAGCGATACATGAGGCACACAGGTGTGAAGGTGGGGTGCTGCTAGAGAGATCATCACAAGACAAGGCATCCACAAACGGCAAAGTCTCGCCGCAAGTATCACATTGTTCTGCCTGCACTAGGTCAAACTTGATCCAGGAACAGTCTGGTTTGATCCTTGATGCCAGGGCACTTGACGACGAGCGCAGCTGAAGGGAAATGCTGCCTTCTGAAGATGACAAGGCTGTAAGAGACTCAGCTTCTGAGCTGGCTCCCCGTTCCTGAGACATTTCTTTGTCTGCGGCTGCTACAGATGGTCTAACAATAGACATTGGTGCTGTCTTTGCCATGGCTGGGGCAGGAGATAAGCATGACAAGGCAGCAGACTCTGCGGCTGAAGTCAAAAGGTCTGAAGTGGATTCCTCTGTGGAATCTGCACTGCGCGACTCTGCTGCCTCCAGATCTGAATTGGTAGAGAGAATATTTCAGTACAGCATCTCATCAAACAAAACAATACAAATGCTATTCTCCTGGAGTTGCATATCTGGCAATTTTCAAGGAGGGCTGGGGTTTGACTCCTTGTGAAAAATTTCACTGACTTGTTTAATAAATGTATTGTGAAAGTGGGGATGTAATTGGTGAGTGTGTGAGTGGGTATGGGTGGTAAGTGTAGGTATAGTTGATCGAGAAAAGCTGCGTTGTGATCCTTACAAAATTTAACAAAGCTGCACTTTTATTTTTACACTTAAAGGTTACAGTGAAGCAATATTGAAGAAAAAGTCACACACAAAAAAAGAACACAGTCATAGACTGTCAACTGAAAGCTTCAATGCAGGTACATCTATTGGCAAGTAATATTTTTTCTATATGCATAATTTCTTCCTTCTGAAGTGTTTCACAATTCCCTTCAGGTCAGATCATCAACAATACACTACAGCCATGCCTACAGTTGCTCTGAACTTCTGCATATTAAATCCACATCAATACTTGTGTTGATTCATTGATTTGAAAGTCCTGTGTTCTCAATACTTGTGTTGATTCATTGAGTTGAAAGTTCTGTGTTTTCTATACTTGTGTTGATTTATTCAGTTGAAAGTCCTGTGTTCTCTATACTTGTGTTGATTCATTCAGTTGAAAGTCCTGTGTTCTCAATACTTGTGTTGATTTATTGAGTTCAAAGTCGTGTGTTCTCAAAACTCGTGTTGATTTATTCAGTTGAAAGTCCTGTGTTCTCTATACTTGTGTTGATTTATTCAGTTGAAAGTCCTGTGTTCTCTATACTTGTGTTGATTCATTGAGTTGAAAGTTCTGTGTTCTCAATACTTGTGTTGATTTATTGAGTTCAAAGTTGTGTGTTCTCAAAACTCGTGTTGATTTATTCAGTTGAAAGTTCTGTGTTCTCTATACTTGTGTTGATTCATTGAGTTGAAAGTCCTGTGTTCTCAATACTTGTGTTGATTTATTGAGTTGAAAGTCCTGTGTTCTCTATACTTGTGTTGATTCTTTGAGTTGAAAGTCGTGTCTCCTCATTACTTGTGTTGATTCATTGAGTTGAAAGTCCTGTGTTCTCAATACTTGTGTTGATTTGTTCAGTTGAAAGTCCTGTGTTCTCAATACTTGTGTTGATTCATTGAGTTGAAAGTCGTGTCTCCTCAATACTTGTGTTGATTTGTTCAGTTGAAAGTCCTGTGTTCTCTATACTTGTGTTGATTCATTGAGTTGAAAGTCCTGTGTTCTCAATACTTGTGTTGATTTGTTCAGTTGAAAGTCCTGTGTTCTCAATACTTGTATTGATTCATTGAGTTGAAAGTCGTGTCTCCTCAATACTTGTGTTGATTTGTTCAGTTGAAAGTCCTGTGTTCTCTATACTTGTGTTGATTCATTGAGTTGAAAGTCCTGTGTTCTCAATACTTGTGTTGATTTATTGAGTTGAAAGTCCTGTGTTCTCTATACTTGTGTTGATTCTTTGAGTTGAAAGTCGTGTCTCCTCAATACTTGTGTTGATTCATTGAGTTGAAAGTCCTGTGTTCTCAATACTTGTGTTGATTTGTTCAGTTGAAAGTCCTGTGTTCTCAATACTTGTGTTGATTCATTGAGTTGAAAGTCGTGTCTCCTCAATACTTGTGTTGATTCATTGAGTTGAAAGTCCTGTGTTCTCAATACTTGTGTTGATTTGTTCAGTTGAAAGTCCTGTGTTCTCAATACTTGTGTTGATTCATTGAGTTGAAAGTCGTGTCTCCTCAATACTTGTGTTGATTCATTGAGTTGAAAGTCCTGTGTTCTCAATACTTGTGTTGATTTGTTCAGTTGAAAGTCCTGTGTTCTCTATACTTGTGTTGATTCATTCAGTTGAAAGTCCTGTGTTCTCAATACTTGTGTTGATTTGTTCAGTTGAAAGTCCTGTGTTCTCAATACTTGTGTTGATTCTTTGAGTTGAAAGTCGTGTCTCCTCAATACTTGTGTTGATTCATTGAGTTGAAAGTCCTGTGTTCTCAATGCTTGTGTTGATTTGTTCAGTTGAAAGTCCTGTGTTCTCAATACTTGTGTTGATTCATTGAGTTGAAAGTCCTGTGTTCTCAATACTTGTGTTGATTTGTTCAGTTGAAAGTCCTGTGTTCTCAATACTTGTGTTGATTCATTGAGTTTAAAGTCCTGTGTTCTCAATACTTGTGTTGATTTGTTCAGTTGAAATTCCTGTGTTCTCAATACTTGTGTTGATTCATTGAGTTGAAAGTCCTGTGTTCTCTATACTTGTGTTGATTCATTGAGTTGAAAGTCCTGTGTTCTCAATACTTGTGTTGATTCATTGAGTTGAAAGTCCTGTGTTCTCTATACTTGTGTTGATTCATTGAGTTGAAAGTCCTGTGTTCTCAATACTTGTGTTGATTCATTGAGTTGAAAGTCCTGTGTTCTCAATACTTGTGTTGATTCATTGAGTTGAAAGTTCTGTGTTCTCTATACTTGTGTTGATTCATTGAGTTGAAAGTCCTGTGTTCTCAATACTTGTGTTGATTCATTGAGTTGAAAGTCCTGTGTTCTCAATACTTGTGTTGATTCATTGAGTTGAAAGTCCTAAATTTAGCCAGTATCTCCTCAAGTGTTCATGAGGTACATTTCAACCATGAGTGAATCATTTGCTGGCAGTGCCAACCAGCCTATTTAATCTTTCACTGCCCATAACAGCTGCATATTCTGGTTCCCACATAAACTGGATCAGTGAACTGACGGCTGGGGCAGCGACATTATGTACACAACTGATGACTGGGGCAGCAAGATTATGTACACAACTGCTGACTGGGGCAGCAAGATTATGTACACAACTGCTGACTGGGGCAGCAAGATTATGTACACAATTGATGACTGGGGCAGCAACATTATGTACACAATTGAAGACTGGGGCAGCAACATTATGTACACAGCTGATTGCTGGGACAGGGACATTATGTACACAACTGATGGCTGGGACAGGGACATTATGTACACAACTGATGGCTGGGAGAGTAACATTATGTGTACAGCTGGTGGCTGGGGCAAGGACATTATGTATAAATTTAAAGAGGCGAAAATATGATTTTTGGGGAAATTAATTTGAAGATTGTGAGGAGAATAAACTCCTAGAAGAAATACAATGCAATGTTGAGAAAGCCATAGACAGATAGGATGGCTGACATTGTGTCTGCATCTAGACAGAGACAGAAGAGCTGACATTGTGTCTGTATCTAGACAGAGACAGAAGAGCTGACATTGTGTCTGTATCTAGACAGAGACAGGAGGGCTGACATTGTGTCTGTATCTAGACAGAGACAGGGGGGCTGACATTGTGTCTGTATCTAGACAGAGACAGAAGAGCTGACATTGTGTCTGTATCTAGACAGAGACAGGGGGGCTGACATTGTGTCTGTATCTAGACAGAGACAGGAGGGCTGACATTGTGTCTGTATCTAGACAGAGACAGGAGGGCTGACATTGTGTCTGTATCTAGACAGAGACAGAAGAGCTGACATTGTGTCTGTATCTAGGCAGAGACAGGAGGGCTGACATTGTGTCTGTATCTAGACAGAGACAGGAGGGCTGACATTGTGTCTGTATCTAGACAGAGACAGGAGGGCTGACATTGTGTCTGTATCTAGGCAGAGACAGGAGGGCTGACATTGTGTCTGTATCTAGACAGAGACAGGAGGGCTGACATTGTGTCTGTATCTAGAAAGAGACAGAAGAGCTGACATTGTGTCTGTATCTGGACAGAGACAGAAGAGCTGACATTGTGTCTGTATCTGGACAGAGACAGAAGAGCTGACATTGTGTCTGTATCTAGGCAGAGACAGAAGAGCTGACATTGTGTCTGTATCTGGACAGAGACAGAAGAGCTGACATTGTGTCTGTATCTGGACAGAGACAGAAGAGCTGACATTGTGTCTGTATCTAGACAGAGACAGGAGGGCTGACATTGTGTCTGTATCTGGACAGAGACAGAAGAGCTGACATTGTGTCTGTATCTGGACAGAGACAGAAGAGCTGACATTGTGTCTGTATCTGGACAGAGACAGAAGAGCTGACATTGTGTCTGTATCTGGACAGAGACAGAAGAGCTGACATTGTGTCTGTATCTAGGCAGAGACAGAAGAGCTGACATTGTGTCTGTATCTGGACAGAGACAGGAGGGCTGACATTGTGTCTGTATCTGGACAGAGACAGAAGAGCTGACATTGTGTCTGTATCTAGACAGAGACAGGAGGGCTGACATTGTGTCTGTATCTAGGCAGAGATAGAAGAGCTGACATTGTGTCTGTATCTAGACAGAGACAGGAGGGCTGACATTGTGTCTGTATCTAGGCAGAGATAGAAGAGCTGACATTGTGTCTGTATCTAGACAGAGACAGGAGGGCTGACATTGTGTCTGTATCTGGACAGAGACAGGAGGGCTGACATTGTGTCTGTATCTAGACAGAGACAGGAGGGCTGACATTGTGTCTGTATCTAGACAGAGACAGGAGGGCTGACATTGTGTCTGTATCTAGACAGAGACAGGAGGGCTGACATTGTGTCTGTATCTGGACAGAGACAGGAGGGCTGACATTGTGTCTGTATCTGGACAGAGACAGAAGAGCTGACATTGTGTCTGTATCTAGACAGAGACAGGAGGGCTGACATTGTGTCTGTATCTAGACAGAGACAGGAGGGCTGACATTGTGTCTGTATCTAGACAGAGACAGAAGAGCTGACATTGTGTCTGTATCTAGACAGAGACAGAAGAGCTGACATTGTGTCTGTATCTAGACAGAGACAGAAGAGCTGACATTGTGTCTGTATCTAGACAGAGACAGGAGGGCTGACATTGTGTCTGTATCTAGACAGAGACAGGAGGGCTGACATTGTGTCTGTATCTAGACAGAGACAGGAGGGCTGACATTGTGTCTGTATCTAGACAGAGACAGGAGGGCTGACATTGTGTCTGTATCTAGACAGAGACAGAAGAGCTGACATTGTGTCTGTATCTAGACAGAGACAGAAGAGCTGACATTGTGTCTGTATCTGGACAGAGACAGAAGAGCTGACATTGTGTCTGTATCTGGACAGAGACAGAAGAGCTGACATTGTGTCTGTATCTGGACAGAGACAGAAGAGCTGACATTGTGTCTGTATCTGGACAGAGACAGAAGAGCTGACATTGTGTCTGTATCTAGACAGAGACAGAAGAGCTGACATTGTGTCTGTATCTAGACAGAGACAGGAGGGCTGACATTGTGTCTGTATCTAGACAGAGACAGGAGGGCTGACATTGTGTCTGTATCTAGGCAGAGACAGGAGGGCTGACATTGTGTCTGTATCTAGGAAGAGACAGGAGGGCTGACATTGTGTCTGTATCTAGACAGAGACAGGAGGGCTGACATTGTGTCTGTATCTAGACAGAGACAGGAGGGCTGACATTGTGTCTGTATCTAGACAGAGACAGAAGAGCTGACATTGTGTCTGTATCTAGACAGAGACAGGAGGGCTGACATTGTGTCTGTATCTGGACAGAGACAGAAGAGCTGACATTGTGTCTGTATCTAGACAGAGACAGGAGGGCTGACATTGTGTCTGCATCTAGACAGAGACAGGAGGGCTGACATTGTGTCTGTATCTAGACAGAGACAGGAGGGCTGACATTGTGTCTGCATCTAGACAGAGACAGGAGGGCTGACATTGTGTCTGTATCTAGACAGAGACAGGAGGGCTGACATTGTATCTGCATCTAGACAGAGACAGGAGGGCTGACATTGTATCTGCATCTAGACAGAGACAGGAGGGCTGACATTGTGTCTGCATCTAGACAGAGACAGGAGGGCTTGCTGTGTGTTGGTTGAGATCCAATGTCCAATTGTGGACAGATGGTAGAAGAAGTAAAAACCAAACAAAAACTTCTACACAGCTCGTACAGGCTAAACTACTGTCCTTCTCTCATTTCAGAAAGGGGGTTAAAAAAAGAATCATGCCTTTGTTAATTGAGTCGATGAACTCTTCCTCAAAAGCCAGACTGCCTGAAGCTGACTGCCAGTCAGGATGTGACATCATTCGGAAGAGACTGTCTCCTAAAAAGTCTCCCTGTGACGGTTCTGCTTCATCTCTGCTGCCATCATCTGTGAGGTTCTGCTTTGATTTGCAGCGAAATATGTCTCGCTTATTGCTGCACAAACATGACAGAGGCATTTCAATTAGATAATTGTTTTTAAATGCAGTAATTAAAAACAAAGCAAATAAAAACACACACAAACAGGAACTTAATTAAGGAATAAAAAAACCATAATCTGGTTTATTTTATTTTATTTTTTAAATTGTGAATTACTCTTGCCAGGATAATTTGTTACATATAGCTACTCATCTTTCTATTCAAAAGGTCACTGTGTCTGATATCAGAATATAATTGTGATAACACATACTTGTTGGCCATCCACTGTGTCTGATACCAGAATATAATTGTGATAACATGTACTTGTTGGCCATCCACTGTGTCTGATACCAGAATATAATTGTGATAACACGTACTTGTTGGCCATCCACTGTGTCTGATATCAGAATATAATTGTGATAACACATACTTGTTGGCCATCCACTGTGTCTGATATCAGAATATAATTGTGATAACATGTACTTGTTGGCAATCCACTGTGTCTGATATCAGAATATAATTGTGATAACACATACTTGTTGGCCATCCACTGTCTGATATCAGAATATAATTGTGATAACACATACTTGTTGGCCATCCACTGTGTCTGACATCAGAATATAATTGTGATAACACATACTTGTTGGCCATCCACTGTCTGATATCAGAATATAATTGTGATAACACGTACTTGTTGGCCATCCACTGTGTCTGATATCAGAATATAATTGTGATAACACGTACTTGTTGGCCATCCACTGTCTGATATCAGAATATAATTGTGATAACATGTACTTGTTGGCCATCCACTGTCTGATATCAGAATATAATTGTGATAACACGTACTTGTTGGCCATCCACTGTCTGATATCAGAATATAATTGTGATTACACGCACTTGTTGGCCATCCACTGTCTGATATCAGAATATAATTGTGATAACACGTACTTGTTGGCCATCCACTGTCTGATATCAGAATATAATTGTGATTACACGTACTTGTTGGCCATCCACTGTCTGATATCAGAATATAATTGTGATAACACGTACTTGTTGGCCATCCACTGTGTCTGATATCAGAATATAATTGTGATAACACGTACTTGTTGGCCATCCACTGTCTGATATCAGAATATAATTGTGATAACACGTACTTGATGGCCTTCCACTGTGTCTGATATCAGAATATAATTGTGATAACACGTACTTGTTGGCCATCCACTGTCTGATATCAGAATATAATTGTGATAACACGTACTTGTTGGCCATCCACTGTCTGATATCAGAATATAATTGTGATAACAGGTACTTGATGGCCTTCCACTGTGTCTGATATCAGAATATAATTGTGATAACACGTACCTGTTGGCCATCCACTGTCTGATATCAGAATATAATTGTGATAACACGTACTTGTTGGCCATCCACTGTCTGATATCAGAATATAATTGTGATAACATGTACTTGTTGGCCATCCACTGTCTGATATCAGAATATAATTGTGATAACACGTACTTTTTGGCCATCCACTGTGTCTGATATCAGAATATAATTGTGATAACACGTACTTGTTGGCCATCCACTGTCTGATATCAGAATATAATTGTGATAACACGTACTTGTTGGCCATCCACTGTGTCTGATATCAGAATATAATTGTGATAACATGTACTTGCCCTAGTAAGTAATGCTGGCCATTCACTGTGGGCAGGTTTTTCCAGTCAGCAGTACAGGAAGATCTGAAGTCAAATGACCTGATGACCTTGACACCAGTCTTCAGACTAACTATGATGATGATGATGATGATGATGATGACGACGATGATAGTGATGTAGATGACACACACCCTTCCATACCTGGCTGACAGGATGCCCTCATATGTGCGCAACTGTTCCATGAAACCCGAGTTTGGGTGCACACAGCCACGCCGATCTTTCACAAACTGAAATGCCTCATTGACAGTCAACCTCTGGTCTTTCATTATAAATGCCATTACCTTTTGGTGAAGATAAAAATATTTGTAATCACTTCCTGAGAGATTTATTGAAAACATATTTACAATTGCTGACATCTGTTATTTTATTTTTTCTTGTTGCACAAAATATTCTTACTGAGCTTTAAACACCTTGTGAGAACACATTTATTAAAACTGTGTCAAGTTAACTCATCATATCATACCACCGTAAAACCAATATACCACTAACGTACGAGAGCTGCCTGCACGTCGACAGCGAACCAGCATTACAGAAGCTGGTAAAACAGTTCATATGAAGAAACAAACAGCAACTTGAAACGAGCAAGCACCACGGCAGACGGTCTACAAACACAAGACCGACCAACATGAGGACCGAAGTCAACCCAGTGTCTAGTCCTTAAGTCCAACCTGATTCACAACAACAAGATAACAGGTTTCTTTATCTCCTTCAACCTTGCTTTAAGTCCTCTGATGCTATCCAGAACTCTAAAAACACTTACTTTGTCTACTATTTCATAACGGCGGTCCACTAAGCCAAAATAATACAAAAACCTAACAAATTTACTATTTAGTATATTTTCAGAAAATAATAAGACAACGGTAACCGCCCACGGCCACCCCGACGTTCCAAGGCATAATAACCGAGGACATAGCACCAAAGGGGACCAGCACCTAGGACGCCAGTCTTACATTGATTTATTAAATTGTCTCCCCTGCTCCACCACCCCAAATGCACTAAACATTATTTCTTTTAGATGAGACTATTTTCAGATCACACAGGAGTCCCGCCAAGACCAGGGACCCTGCCCCAGGTTAGCAACCAGAGACGATCTCGAGGACCAGCAGGGATACTCTTCTCTCACCCTTGCAAGCTATCCGTCTCTCTCATTCTACCGATCTTACTATACCAATCTCCTGAAACGTTCAAGCATTCCCTCCTTTATGCAAATCTGTGTTACCTCCGCTACTTCTTTGAAAAAAAAAGTTTTTTTGGGGCGGCTCACCACAACAGATTGTGACGACCTGGTTGTCCTGAAAAGGAACATTGTGCACTGAGACAAGGCCTACTGGATTGTTTAGCTTTTCCCCGGGGCTTACCCAAGCGGCAAGGGCACTAGTTAGCTTTTTCCCGGGGCTTACCCAAGCAGCAAGGGCACTAGTTAGCTTTTTCCCGGAGCTTACCCAAGCGGCAAGGACACTAGTTAGCTTTTTCCCGGGGCTTACCCAAGCGGCAAGGGCACTAGTTAGCTTTTTCCCGGGGCTTACCCAAGCGGCAAGGGCACTAGTTAGCTTTTCCCCGGGGCTTACCCAAGCGGCAAGGGCACTAGTTAGCTTTTCCCCGGGGCTTACCAAAGCAGCAAGGGCACTAGTTAGCTTTTTCCCGGGGCTTACCCAAGCAGCAAGGGCACTAGTTAGCTTTTTCCCGGGGCTTACCCAAGCGGCAAGGGCACTAGTAAGCTTTTCCCGGAGCTTACCCAAGCAGCAAGGGCACTAGTTAGCTTTTTCCCGGGGCTTACCCAAGCGGCAAGGGCACTAGTTAGCTTTTCCCGGGGCTTACCCAAGCGGTAAGGGCACTAGTTAGCTTTTCCCGGGGCTTACCCAAGCGGTAAGGGCACTAGTTAGCTTTTCCCGGGGCTTACCCAAGCGGCAAGGGCACTAGCGCAGCGACCAGCACGGCAAGAACAAGCACCAGCAACAAATCAAGCGAAAACCCACAGGGACAAGAAACAAAGAATACCAGAACTGATCCCGCCAAAACCACACCAAACAAGACAAACCCGCAAAGACCCAAAAAACACACAACAAAGAAGCAAAGGAAGCAACTAACAAGGACAGCAACTGATGGAAAGCAAAAACTTAAAACAGGTGTGGACACACACACCACAAAGGAATAAACCAAGGATAAACCACAAAGAAACCCGGCCAACCAAATAACAGTCGCTCAGATAGGAGCTGGTTAAACGTCCCCGAAGTTTAGAATTTTTGTTTGTGGAATCAGGAGTTACCTCATCTTTCAGCTGAATTAGTTCATCTACAAGCCCAGAGGCTAGTGTTTTCACCTGCCCAAATATTGGCCTGTGTTCAATTATCAGCAAAGGCAATTTTTTTTTATTGGGGAAGGGGGTGGGGGGGGGGGGGCAACCAGGAGGGCTCAGGGGTCAACAAAGCCTCATAAATATGGTATCAGATTTTTCTTCAAAACTGTTGATTTTTGTACAATTCTAGAAAACAATTGCTGTTCAACCCCCCTCCCCCCTTCCGCGGAGCATTAGAACACATACAGGAATTATAGTATATTTAAGCTTCATATGTCAACCTATGAAAATGTGAATTATTTCAACAGAACCCAATTCAGTGACATATTTTTAAGAAATATTTTTAGATTTCAATAAATTGGGGGAAAATAATTTATTTTTGGGTGAAGAACTTTAAAAATATAACAATGCAAGTAATGCATTAACAGTGTTTTATTTAGCTCAGTAAAGTAACCACCACTGGCAGAAATACTGTCACTAAGCTCAGTAAAGTAACCACCACTGGCAGAAATACTGTCACTAAGCTCAGTAAAGTAACCACCACTGGCAGAAATACTGTCACTAAGCTCAGTAAAGTAACCACCACTGGCAGAAATACTGTCATTAAGCTCAGTAAAGTAACCACCACTTACAGAAATACTGTCATTAAGCTCAGTAAAGTAACCACCACTGGCAGAAATACTGTCACTAAGCTCAGTAAAGTAACCACCACTGGCAGAAATACTGTCACTAAGCTCAGTAAAGTAACCACCACTGGCAGAAATACTGTCACTAAGCTCAGTAAAGTAACCACCACTGGCAGAAATACTGTCACTAAGCTCAGTAAAGTAACCACCACTGGCAGAAATACTGTCACTAAGCTCAGTAAAGTAACCACCACTGGCAGAAATACTGTCACTAAGCTCAGTAAAGTAACCAACACTGGCAGAAATACTGTCATTAAGCTCAGTAAAGTAACCACCACTGGCAGAAATACTGTCATTAAGCTCAGTAAAGTAACCACCACTGGCAGAAATACTGTCACTAAGCTCAGTAAAGTAACCACCACTTACAGAAATACTGTCATTAAGCTCAGTAAAGTAACCACCACTGGCAGAAATACTGTCATTAAGCTCAGTAAAGTAACCACCACTGGCAGAAATACTGTCATTAAGCTCAGTAAAGTAACCACCACTGGCAGAAATACTGTCACTAAGCTCAGTAAAGTAACCACCACTTACAGAAATACTGTCATCAAGCTCAGTAAAGTAACCTTTAAAATAACCTCTCCTTTTTTATATATATCACTGTGAAATAAATTATGAGAAAATGTTATATTATTTCAATATTATGAATGAACCAATGAAGGAATGCAGTTCAACATAATCAAGCAACCAATAAATGAAGGCTAATTTGCTGTAAACATTATGAAGCAACCAATGAGACAAGTTGACTCAACCTTGGTGGAGAACTCACCGTTGAAGCCGAGCGACTGACTCCCATCTTGCAATGAACTAAAACCTTGGAGTTGTGACTTCTGTAGAAAATACAGATATTTATAAATAAATGTGTTGATCCCAAACAAACCTAGACATTTCTGTGTCAATGTAGATTATACGTGTGAGACAACCTGAGACTGAACAAGCTTGGTCTGTCTACAGCAGTAGCTCTCAAACTTGTTTCATCGCTGCATCTTTGTTAACTCTTTGAGTCCCAGCAGGTTTAGCATCACAGGCCCAAAAGGTAGTCAAGGGAGACGTAAAATCATCGCATCATGCGTTCATTAGGCTTCTAAGTAGGAATCTATGAGTGTATGATGAGTTTCTTGGGACTCAAAGAGTTAAGCAACAACAAAAAATGCAGCACACCTACCCTTAAAGCGATCTGAATACTTACCAAAAGAATTTAAAAAAAAACCAGTGAACATTTAATGTTCAGTTGTTTTTAATGCGATGAATAACAACTTTTGCATGATTTTTTGATTATTTCTTTTATGTTTATGGAAAGTTCAGTTAATTTTACCCTTAAATCACTTGACACAGAAAGTTTGCTTCTGTATCTGTTTGTTGTGTAAGCATACATTCAGAATGCATTGCAGCCTTGTGAACAGCACTGTCTTCTTAATAACCTGCCTCCAGAACTCTTCTAGGCTTTCTTCACAGTGTTTCTATTTGAAACTGTTGTCTTCGCTGATCTCAAGCAGATTTGGAATCATTCTTGATTATTGCCATGGTACCCAGTTTGAGAATCGCTGGTCTACAGACACGTGAATGATACACAGAATTTTTTTTCAATGAACCGTGAAAATAATCACAATAAGTAGCTTAGGCCATTATGGCCCTCTACAGTCATACTAAGTAAATTAAAAGTCAAGGACCCTTTTCCACGCCTTAATGCGTATTGGGCATTTAGGGCTGAACCTAAACTTGAGAGACCAATCGACACTCTGGGAGGGATGTGGTCAACATGACGCTGACTGCCTTTACTTCCCAGGACTTTACCAGGTACCCACTAAAGGCTGGGTCAACCTGGGAGCAAAGGGGATTAAAAAAAACGTTGGCTCTATCAGGACTCAAACCCACAGCCTTCTCATCCGCAAGCAAGCATCTAGCCACTACACAATGGCGACTCCCTCACTCATACTACTAGCACTGTGTCAAAGTGACCCCAGTGTAGTTTTTACATCTGCTACCTAAGTACATATTCAAGGCTATCATTTCTCACCTTACAATATGCCACACATGTGCTTCTTCATATTCTGCAGACAATCCACATTTTGTGAGCTTCAGTTTCTGTTGACTCATTTCATGCAGTTTCTGTTGACTCATCTCATGCAGTTTCTGTTGACTCATCTCATTCAGTTTCTGTTGACTCATCTCATTCAGTTTCTGTTGACTCATCTCATTCAGTTTCTGTTGACTCATCTCATTCAGTTTCTGTTGAATCATTTCATTCAGTTTCTGATGACTCATCTCATTCAGTTTCTGTTGACTCATCTCATTCAGTTTCTGTTGACTCATCTCATTCAGTTTCTGTTGACTCATCTCATTCAGTTTCTGTTGACTCATCTCATTCAGTTTCTGTTGACTCATCTCATTCAGTTTCTGTTGACTCATCTCATTCAGTTTCTGTTGAATCATTTCATTCAGTTTCTGATGACTCATCTCATTCAGTTTCTGTTGACTCATCTTATGCAGTTTCTGTTGACTCATCTCATTCACTTTCTACTGACTCATCTCATTCAGTTTCTGTTGACTCATCTCATTCAGTTTCTGTTGACTCATCTCATTCAGTTTCTGTTGACTCATCTCATTCAGTTTCTGTTGACTCATCTCATTCAGTTTCTGTTAACTCATCTCATTCAGTTTCTGTTAACTCATCTCATTCAGTTTCTGTTGACTCATCTCATTCAGTTTCTGTTGACTCATCTCATTCAGTTTCTGTTGACTCATCTCATTCAGTTTCTGTTGACTCATCTCATTCAGTTTCTGTTAACTCATCTCATTCAGTTTCTGTTGACTCATCTCATTCAGTTTCTGTTGACTCATCTCATTCAGTTTCTGTTGAATTACAGGTACAGCTGTCTGGGGTCATTCATCAGGCACCCAATGGACCTTGTACTGTGACAAATGACCCCTTAACACCCATTTAACATTGTACTGTGGAAAATGACCCACACAAAACACTCACATGACCTTTTACTGTGACAAATAATCCACTAGACATCCACATGACCTTTTACTGTGACAAATAATCCACTAGACATCCACATGACCTTTTACTGTGATCAATGATCCTACCAGACATCCACTTGACCTTTTACTGTGATCAATGATCCTACTAGACATCCACATGAAATTTTACTGTGATCAATGATCCACTAGACATCCACAGACCTTTTATTGTGACAAATGACCCACTAGACATCCACAGACCTTTTACTGTGATCAATGATCCACTAGACATCCACATGACCTTTTACTGTGATCAATGATCCACTAGACATCCACAGACCTTTTACTGTGACAAATGACCCACTAGACATCCACAGACCTTTTACTGTGATCAATGATCCACTAGACATCCACATGACCTTTTACTGTGATCGATGATCCACTAGACATCCACATGACCTTTTACTGTGACAAATGATCCACTAGACATCCACATGACCTTTTACTGTGATCAATGATCCACTAGACATCCACATGACCTTTTACTGTGACAAACGATCCATTAGACATCCACAAACCTTTTACTGTGACAAACGACCCACTAGACATCCACATACCTTTTACTGTGATCAATGACCCACTAGACATCCATATGACCTTTTATTGTGATCAATGATCCACTAGACATCCACAGACCTTTTACTGTGATCAATGATCTACTAGACATCCACAGACCTTTTACTGTAACAAATGACCCACTAGACATCCACAGACCTTTTACTGTGACAAATGATCCACTAGACATCCACAGACATTTTACTGTGATCAATGACCCACTAGACATCCACATGACCTTTTACTGTGATCAATGACCCACTAGACATCCACATACCTTTTACTGTGACAAACAGCCCACTAGACATCCACAGACCTTTTACTGTAACAAATGACCCACTAGACATCCACATGACCTTTTACTGTGACAAATGACCCACTAGACATCCACATGACCTTTTACTGTGATCAATGATCCACTAGACATCCACAGACCTTTTACTGTGATCAATGATCTACTAGACATCCACAGACCTTTTACTGTAACAAATGACCCACTAGACATCCACAGACCTTTTACTGTGACAAATGATCCACTAGACATCCACAGACATTTTACTGTGATCAATGACCCACTAGACATCCACATGACCTTTTACTGTGATCAATGACCCACTAGACATCCACATACCTTTTACTGTGACAAACGGCCCACTAGACATCCACAGACCTTTTACTGTAACAAATGACCCACTAGACATCCACATGACCTTTTACTGTGACAAATGACCCACTAGACATCCACATGACCTTGTACTGTGACAAATGATCCACTAGACATCCACATGACCTTGTACTGTGACAAATGATCCACTAGACATCCACATGACCTTTTACTGTGACAAATGATCCACTAGACATCCACATGACCTTTTACTGTGACAAATGACCCACTAGACATCCACATGACTTTGTACTGAGACAAATGATCTACTAGACATCCACAGACCTTTTACTGTGACAAATGATCCACTAGACATCCACATGACCTTTTACTGTGACAAATGATCCACTAGACATCCACATGACCTTTTACTGTGACAAATGATCCACTAGACATCCACATACCTTTTACTGTGACAAATGACCCACTAGACATCCACAGACCTTTTACTGTGACAAATGATCCACTAGACATCTACATGACCTTTTACTGTGATCAATGATCCACTAGACATCCACATGACCTTTTACTGTGATCAATGATCTACTAGACATCCATGACCTTTTACTGTGACAAATAATCCACTAGACATCCACAGACCTTTTACTGTGATCAATGATCCACTAGACATCCACATGACCTTTTACTGTGACAAATGATCCACTAGACATCCACAGACCTTTTACTGTGACAAATGATTCACTAGACATCCACATGACCTTTTACTGTGACAAATAATCCACTAGACATCCACAGACCTTTTACTGTGACAAATGATTCACTAGACATCCACAGACCTTTTACTGTGACAAATGATCCACTAGACATCCACATGACCTTTTACTGTGATCAATGATCCACTAGACATCCACATGACCTTTTACTGTGATCAATGATCTACTAGACATTCACATGACCTTTTACTGTGACAAATAATCTACTAGACATCCACAGACCTTTTACTGTGATCAATGATCCACTAGACATCCACATGACCTTTTACTGTGACAAATGATCCACTAGACATCCACAGACCTTTTACTGTGACAAATGATTCACTAGACATCCACATGACCTTTTACTGTGACAAATAATCCACTAGACATCCACAGACCTTTTACTGTGACAAATGATTCACTAGACATCCACATGACCTTTTACTGTGACAAATGATCCACTAGACATCCACAGACCTTTTACTGTGATCAATGACCCACTAGACATCCACGTGACCTTTTACTGTGACAAATGACCTACTAGACATCCACAGACCTTTTACTGTGACAAATAATCCTATAGACATCCACAGACCTTTTACTGTGACAAATGACCCACTAGACATCCACATGACCTTTTACTGTGACAAATGATCCACTAGACATCCACATGACCTTTTACTGTGACAAATGATCCACCAGACACCCCTATTATCGTATACTTTGATAGAAGACTCATTAATCACTTTTTGCCCCTAGTACTTGGAGAAATTCCACTAGACACCTAGGTGATCCTGCATTTTGACAAAATTCGCAGTAGGCAGTGACATAATCTTGTACTTTGACATATAACTTAATAGACACCCACCTTGACACATGACTCAATAGACACCCACCTTGACACATGACTCAATAGACACCCACCTTGACACATGATTCAATAGACACCCACCTCGACACATGACTCAATAGACACCCACCTTGACACATAATTTAATAGACACCCACCTTGACACATGATTCAATAGACATCCACCTTGACACATGATTCAAAAGACACCCACCTTGACACATGATTCAATAGACACCCACCTTGACACATGATTCAATAGACACCCACCTTGACACATGATTCAATAGACACCCACCTTGACACATGATTCAATAGACACCCACCTTGACACATGATTCTATAGACACCCACCTTGACACATGATTCAATAGACACCCACCTTGACACATGACCTACATTATACCCAATGGGTCTGACACTCAGAAACAAGACCCACACTTCCGTACTTCATTTCCAGGAGTATATGCACAGAATATCAGCATTTGGCAACAAAGAATGTCATGATTTAGCAACAAAGAATTTCAGCATACAGCAACAGAGAATGTCATGATTTAGCAACAAAGAATATCAGCATACAGCAACAGAGAATGTCATGATTTAGCAACAAAGAATATCAGCATACAGCAACAGAGAATGTCAGCATTTACCTGGCCTTGGAGATAAACTTGTAGGTTTTGTCCCAATGTTTCAGCAAGTCGGATTCATCAACATCATACACCCGGACATTGTAGTACTGGAACTTGCCCTCAAAGAAGTTGTCAATCTCCTTGGTGACATTGAGGATATAGCCAATCCTGTTGATGATTTCACAGTTATGATCACTCTTCTGCTCATTCCTCTTCCTCTTCTCCTTTCTTCTTCCTCTTCTTTTTTTCTTCTTCCTCTTCTCCTTTCTTCTTCCTCTGCTTTTTTTCTTCTTCCTCTGTGTGTCTGTGTGTGTGTTTGTGTCTGCGAGTATTTGGGTGTCTGTGCTTGTGTTAGTATGTGTGTGTGTATGTCTATGTGTGTTTTTGTGCCATTATGTGTCTGTAGGTGTGACTGTGTGTGTGGCTGCATATGTATCTGTGTCTGTACATGTCTCGGTGTGTGGCTTTGTGTGTATCTGTGTGAGTCTCTATGGGTGTGTCTATTATATAATGTCTGGGTGTGTCTCTGTGTGTGTGGCTTCGTGGGTATCTGTGTGTGTGTCTTTTTGATAATGTGTTTGCGTCTGCGCATGTTTGTCTGTGTGAGTGTTTGTGCATCTGTGAGTGTATTTGTATGTATGTATGTGTGTGTGTGCCATTATGTGTCTGTGTGTGGTGTGGCTGTGTGTTTATCTGTGTCTGTCTGTGGCTGTGAGTGTCTGTGTGTGTGGCTTTGTGGGTATCTGTGTGTGTCTCTATCGGTGTGCCTATTATATAATGTCTGCATGTCTCTGTTTGTGTCGGTTTAAGCGTCCGTGTGTATGTCTGTGTGTGTCTGTGTGTATGTGTGAGTGTTGTGTATGTCTATGTGTGTATCTGTGTATTTCCCTGCCTGCGTGTGTGTATGTGTTTGTGTGTGTGCCTGTGACTGCATGTGTGTGTGTGTGTCTGTGTGGGTTTATGTCTGTGTGAGCCGGTGTGTGTGTTTGTATGGGTCTTTTTGTGCGGCTACGTGTGTGTATGTATGTGAGTTTGTCTATGTGGGTTTACGTTTGTGTGCGTTGTTGTGTGTGTTTTTATGTGTCTTTTTGTGCGGCTACGAATGTGTATGTATGTGAGTTTGTCTATGTGGGTTTACGTTTGTGTGCGTTGTTGTGTGTGTTTTTATGGGTCTTTTTGTGCGGCTACGAGTGTGTATGTATGTGTTTGTGTGTATATCTGTATGTGTCTTGGTTGTATGCGTGTGTGTTTTAGAGCATGTGACTGTGTGTATGAGTGTGTGTGTGTGTGTGTATATATATGTATTTATGTATGTGTGTGTGCGTGTTTGTATGTATGTGGAAGTGAGTGAATGGGTTTGCGTGTGTATGTGGGTGGGTGTGTTCACGCGCGAGCGTGCGCACATATTTTACCACCCATGCTTTTGTTTTTAAATTGATATTCATAATATGCATATTATTACATGAACATAACATGCTTTATTGATGATATACAACTGCTGTGTGAAAGATGGGAGTTTGGAAGGGCCGAATGTAAGACAAGCCTGCGTGCCTAATTTGTAAGCCTTTGAAAATAAAGTTTGTTCGTTCCTCTGCTATTCTTGTCCAGTATTTTCCCACATCATGTTATAAATTTAACTGGCTCTAACCGATAGTTCTCACCAGTGACCTTTGTGTCAAGGAAAGTAAGAGTGTAACCTACTAAGCATGTTTTAACCCCTGGCTCCAGAGTTCACAATCATATCTGAAGTGTGTGGTTTGGAGAGTTCACAATCATACCTGAAGTGTGTGGTTTGGAGAGTTCACAATCATAACTGAAGTCTGTGGCTTGGAGAGTTCACAATCATACCTGAAGTGTGTGGTTTGGAGAGTTCACAATCATACCTGAAGTGTGTGGCTGGAGAGTTCACAATCATACCTGAAGTGTGTGTGGTTTGGAGAGTTCACAATCATACCTGAAGTGTGTGGCTGGAGAGTTAACAATCATACCTGAAGTGTGTGGCTTGGAGAGTTCACAATCATACCTGAAGTGTGTTTCTTGGAGAGTTAACATACCTGAAGTGTGTGGTTTGGAGAGTTCACAATCATACCTGAAGTGTGTGGCTTGGAGAGTTCACAATCATACCTGAAGTGTGTGGCTTGGAGAGTTCACAATCATACCTGAAGTGTGTGGTTTGGAGAGTTCACAATCATACCTGAAGTGTGTGGCTTGGAAATTTCACAATCATTCCTGAAGTGTGTGGCTTGAAAAGTTCACAATCATACCTGAAGTGTGTGGCTTGGAGAGTTCACAATCATAACTGAAGTCTGTGGCCTGGAGAGTTCACAATCATACCTGAAGTGTGTGGCTTGGAGAGTTCACAATCATACCTGAAGTCTGTGGCCTAAAGAGTTCACAATCATACCTGAAGTTTGTGGCTTGGAGAGTTCACAATCATACCTGAAGTCTGTGGCTTGGAGAGTTCACAATCATACCTGAAGTCTGTGGCCTGGAGAGTTCACAATCATACCTGAAGTTTGTGGCTTGGAGAGTTCACAATCATACCTGAAGTTTGTGGCTTGGAGAGTTCACAATCATACCTGAAGTGTGTGGCTGGAGAGTTCACAATCATACCTGAAGTGTGTGGCTTGGAGAGTTCACAATCATAACTGAAGTCTGTGGCCTGGAGAGTTCACAATCATACCTGAAGTGTGTGGCTGGAGAGTTCACAATCATACCTGAAGTGTGTGGCTGGAGAGTTCACAATCATACCTGAAGTGTGTGACTGGAGAGTTCACAATCATAACTGAAGTCTGTGGCCTGGAGAGTTCACAATCATACCTGAAGTGTGTGGCTGGAGAGTTCACAATCATACCTGAAGTGTGTGGCTTGGAGAGTTCACAATCATACCTGAAGTGTGTGGCTTGGAAGAATTCACAATCATACCTGAAGTGTGTAGGTTGTCTACTGCGACAGAACCAAGCCCAACACTAAATTCTTCCAGAGTAAACTTAGACCAAGACAGTTCAACAACGAACGGCAACAAGAAACTCACCCTTTCTCCACAAGTTCATCCAGATTAGATGCATTCCACTCAGATCCTAAATAAAGGAACTCTAGGATTTCTGATGGTTTGTCCATCTGTCCCACAATTCTCATCACTTCTTCATCAAAGTAGCTTTTGTATTCTGCCAGGGACATTCCCATTTTCTGCTCAACTGCTTTTCTCAACTGTTGTTTCAACCAAACAAACAATCATTTAAAAAAAAAAATTGTTATCAACATGTTATCTTTGGACCCATCAAAGATGCTAACAGCGGGGAATGGAGAGTGAGAAGCAACAACGCAACACATAATCTGACTTCTGAAGATTCTACAGCACTTTAGTGAGGCAATAACTACTTCAGTAAAGACTGGGTATTTGCTTTTAAAGATGCACATTTACAGTTTTTTCAGTTAGAATATGTTGCCAGATTTCTGTCAATTACACAACATGTCTGAGATGTCCATGGCAACCAGGTCAGGCCATTCCTAAAAATTCTCAAGGATATGGGTTTATTTCCTGGACTGCTTGTCCGGTTTTTTTTGGGTAGATCCTGGGAAATTGTTGCTGCAGTTGTTTTTGTGTAATACTTACAGCTGATGGTCACTGCACTGAGAGTGCCATAAAAGATCAAACCTGGTGTAATGAAGTCAATCTTTCAAAAGTCAATCATCTCTGACAGCCTTATACAGCACAACAGCTGGAGGAGCACACAGTTGTGCCTGAAACTAATGCAGCTTGCTTCAAGTGACAGTCATGGCTGCTTTAAGTGACAGTCTTGGCTGCTTTAAGTGACAGTCTTGGCTGCTTTAAGTGACAGTCATGGCTGCTTCAAGTGACAGTCTTGGCTGCTTCAAGTGACAGTCTTGGCTGCTTCAAGTGACAGTCTTGGCTGCTTCAAGTGACAGTCTTGGCTGCTTCAAGTGACAGTCTTGGCTGCTTCAAGTGACAGTCTTGGCTGCTTCAAGTGACAGTCATGGCTGCTTTAAGTGACAGTCTTGGCTGCTTCAAGTGACAGTCATGGCTGCTTCAAGTGACAGTCTTGGCTGCTTCAAGTGACAGTCTTGGCTGCTTCAAGTGACAGTCATGGCTGCTTTAAGTGACAGTCATGGCTGCTTTAAGTGACAGTCATGGCTGCTTCAAGTGACAGTCATGGCTGCTTTAAGTGACAGTCATGGCTGCTTTAAGTGACAGTCATGGCTGCTTTAAGTGACAGTCATGGCTGCTTTAAGTGACAGTCATGCTTTAAGTGACTGCTTTAAGTGACAGTCATGGCTGCTTCAAGTGACAGTCATGGCTGCTTTAAGTGACAGTCATGGCTGCTTTAAGTGACAGTCATGGCTGCTTCAAGTGACAGTCATGGCTGCTTTAAGTGACAGTCATGGCTGCTTTAAGTGACAGTCATGGCTGCTTTAAGTGACAGTCATGGCTGCTTTAAGTGACAGTCATGGCTGCTTTAAGTGACAGTCATGGCTGCTTTAAGTGACAGTCATGGCTGCTTCAAGTGACAGTCTTGGCTGCTTCAAGTGACAGTCTTGGCTGCTTCAAGTGACAGTCTTGGCTGCTTCAAGTGACAGTCTTGGCTGCTTCAAGTGACAGTCTTGGCTGCTTCAAGTGACATTATGTCCAAATCACTCACTGCTTCGGTGACACGGCTGCTTCAAGTGACATTCTTGGCTGCTTCAAGTGACAGTCATACCTGCTTGTAAGTGACAGTCAATCTCACTGCTGGGAAGTGACATGTGTTGGTTTCCCCTGACATTCTTGGCTGCTTCAAGTGACATTCTGGCTGCTTTTAAAACAAAGGTATGGCTGCTTCAAGTACATTCAGGCATATTCAAGTCACAAGTGCTTTTTCAAGTGACATTCTTGGCTGCTTCAAGTTACATTCTATGGCTACTTCAAGTGACAGCAATATCTGCTTCAAGTGACATAAATATGGCTGCTTCACAGTGACAGTCAGAAAGCTTGTAAATGATAAACAAAAACACACAAAAATACAGTCAAATTGCTGCTTCAAGTGAATCTTGGCTGCTTCAAGTGACACATTCTTGGCTGCTTCAAGTGACATTCTTGGCTGCTTCAAGTGACATTCTTGGCCCGCTTCAAGTGACAGTCATGGCTGCTTCAAAGACAGTCTCATGCTTTCAGTGACCAATGGCTGCTATCAAGTGACATGTCTTGGGTGCTTTAAAGAAATATAAATGCTTCAATAATGCATACACTTGGCTGCTTTGTACACATTCTTGGCTGCTTACACACACGGCTGCTTTAAGTGACAGTCTTGGCTGCTTCAAGTGACATACATGCACTTCAAGTGACATTCTTGGCTGCTTCAAGTGAATACATACACTTCACGCATCTACTTACTGCTTCAAGTATAAAACACATACACATACATAGACATAAATGCACAAACTTTAAAACACACACACATGCTTTAAGGATATACATGCTGCTTCAAGTGACACATACACACCTTTAAGTGACAGTCATGGCTGCTTCAAGTACAGTCATGGCTGCTTCAAGTGACAGTCTTGGCTGCTTCAAGTGACATTCATGGCTGCTTCACATTTGACAGTCATGGCTGCTTTAAGTGACAGTCATGGCTGCTTTACATAAGTGACAGTCATGGCTGCTTCAAGTGACAGTCTTGGCTGCTTCAAGTCACATCTTTACACACTTCAAGTGACATACTTGGCTACACACATGACAGTCATGGCTGCTTACACAGTGACAGTGCATGGATGCTTCAAGTGACATGCATGGCTGCTTCAAGTGACATACATGGCTGCATACATACATGCCTGCTTCACACACAGTAATGGCTGCTACAAGTGACAGTCATGGCTGCTTCAAGTGACATTCATGGCTGCTTCAAGTGACATTCATGGCTGCTTCAAGTGACAGTCATGGCTGCTTTAAGTGACAGTCATGGCTGCTTTAAGTGACAGTCATGGCTGCTTCAAGTGACAGTCTTGGCTGCTTCAAGTGACAGTCTTGGCTGCTTCAAGTGACAGTCTTGGCTGCTTCAAGTGACATTCATGGCTGCTTTAAGTGACATTCATGGCTGCTTCAAGTGACAGTCTTGGCTGATTCAAGTGACATTCTTGTCTGCTTCAAGTGACAGTCTTGGCTGCTTCAAGTGACAGTCTTGGCTGCTTCAAGTGACAGTCTTGGCTGCTTCAAGTGACAGTCTTGGCTGCTTCAAGTGACAGTCGTGGCTGCTTCAAGTGACAGTAATGGCTGCTTCAAGTGACAGTCTTGGCTGCTTCAAGTGACAGTCTTGGCTGCTTCAAGTGACAGTCTTGGCTGCTCTAAGTGACAGTCTTGGCTGCTTCAAGTGACAGTCATGGCTGCTTTAAGTGACAGTCATGGCTGCTTCAAGTGACAGTCTTGGCTGCTTCAAGTGACAGTCATGGCTGCTTCAAGTGACAGTCTTGGCTGCTTCAAGTGACATTCTTGGCTGCTTCAAGTGACAGTCATGGCTGCTTCAAGTGACAGTCTTGGCTGCTTCAAGTGACAGTCTTGGCTGCTTCAAGTGACAGTCTTGGCTGCTTCAAGTGACAGTCTTGGCTGCTTCAAGTGACATTCTTGGCTGCTTTAAGTGACAGTCATGGCTGCTTCAAGTGACATTCTTGGCTGCTTCAAGTGACAGTCATGGCTGCTTCAAGTGACAGTCATGGCTGCTTCAAGTGACAGTCTTGGCTGCTTCAAGTGACATTCTTGGCTGCTTCAAGTGACAGTCATGGCTGCTTCAAGTGACAGTCTTGGCTGCTTCAAGTGACATTCTTGGCTGCTTCAAGTGACAGTCATGGCTGCTTCAAGTGACAGTCATGGCTGCTTCAAGTGACAGTCTTGGCTGCTTCAAGTGACAGTCATGGCTGCTTCAAGTGACAGTCTTGGCTGCTTCAAGTGACAGTCTTGGCTGCTTTAAGTGACAGTCTTGGCTGCTTTAAGTGACAGTCTTGGCTGCTTCAAGTGACAGTCTTGGCTGCTTTAAGTGACAGTCTTGGCTGCTTCAAGTGACAGTCTTGGCTGCTTCAAGTGACAGTCTTGGCTGCTTTAAGTGACAGTCATGGCTGCTTCAAGTGACATTCTTGGCTGCTTTAAGTGACAGTCATGGCTGCTTTAAGTGACAGTCTTGGCTGCTTTAAGTGACAGTCATGGCTGCTTCAAGTGACATTCTTGGCTGCTTTAAGTGACAGTCATGGCTGCTTCAAGTGACAGTCTTGGCTGCTTCAAGTGACAGTCTTGGCTGCTTCAAGTGACATTCATGGCTGCTTCAAGTGACAGTCATGGCTGCTTTAAGTGACAGTCATGGCTGCTTTAAGTGACAGTCATGGCTGCTTCAAGTGACAGTCTTGGCTGCTTCAAGTGACATTCTTGGCTGCTTCAAGTGACAGTCTTGGCTGCTTCAAGTGACAGTCATGGCTGCTTCAAGTGACAGTCATGGCTGCTTCAAGTGACATTCATGGCTGCTTCAAGTGACAGTCATGGCTGCTTCAAGTGACAGTAATGGCTGCTTCAAGTGACAGTCATGGCTGCTTCAAGTGACATTCATGGCTGCTTCAAGTGACATTCATGGCTGCTTCAAGTGACAGTCATGGCTGCTTTAAGTGACAGTCATGGCTGCTTTAAGTGACAGTCATGGCTGCTTCAAGTGACAGTCTTGGCTGCTTCAAGTGACAGTCTTGGCTGCTTTAAGTGACAGTCTTGGCTGCTTTAAGTGACAGTCATGGCTGCTTCAAGTGACAGTCTTGGCTGCTTCAAGTGACAGTCATGGCTGCTTCAAGTGACAGTCATGGCTGCTTCAAGTGACAGTCTTGGCTGCTTCAAGTGACAGTCATGGCTGCAAGATTATGTCCAAATCACTCACCATCGGTCCAACGACTGATCACAATATGTTCAACATGGCATAATACCCCATTACCCTGCCTTGTAACTGTCCACAATCTCACTGATGGGAAATTCATGTGTTAGTTTCCCCTGGCAACATTAGAGTTTCACATTGAATGTCTGTCACTTTTAAAACAAAGGTATACATGTTACTAGGCAGCCATATTCTCACAAGTGTTTTTTGTGTATTGAACAATATGTTAATTCTATACATACATAACATATGCAAGCAATATCTACTAGAAAAAAAAATAAATATATATACATACACAGATAGAAAGAGAGAAAGGCATGTAAATAGATAAACAAAAACACACAAAAATATAATTTAAAATAGTTACAGAGAATCATGAGACAGAACAAACGAACAAACTTTATTTTAAAAGGGTTACAAACTGGGCCCGCAGGCCCGTCTGACATTCTAAGCATTCATCTTTCAGAGCACCAATGCCTGCTATCAATAATGCATGTCATGGGTATAATAAACAAATATAAATTATAGAATAATGCATACACAAATCATTTGTACACAATCTTACACACTCACACACACGTATGCATACTCCTACGTCTCATACATGCACACTCATATACAGACATACGTAATACATACACACACGCATCTACATACATATACAAATATAAAACACATACACATACATAGACATAAATGCACAAACAGAAAACACACACACATACATTGAAGGATATACATGCATACACACATTCCATACATACACACCTATACATGCATCCATGCATACACACATATACAATCACAAGTACAGAAACCAACATATGCCCACAACCACACATTTACACTTACATGAATACATACACCCACATACATTTACATAAACATGCATACATACACATACATGCATACACACATACATTTATACATACACTCACATCTTTACACACATACATACATACCTAAATACACACATAAACACCCACATACTTACACAGCTAAATATGCATAGATACATCCACCAACATGCATACATACACACATAGGTACATACATACATGCATACATACATGCCCACACACATTACTTACATACACACACATGCATGCATACTCACATATATACAATCACCCATACAGATATTACATACACACATACATACCTGCACACATTATTTACACACGCACCCACAATCACACATACACAGACAGACAGAAAGAGCTACCTCAAGAAAGTAAAACAGACAGAGGGAGAACAAACAAATGAACAAACACTCTATTTTGAAAGGGTTACAAACTAGGTACACAGGCCTGTCTTACATTTGGCTCTTACAAGCATTCATCTTTCAGACCACAGTTGCTCGCTATCAGTAATGCATGTTATGTTTACATAAAAATATACACAATGAAAAAATGCATACACACATCATACATTCACAATAATACACAATCAAAAATACGCATGTACACATACTCTTACACTCTCTCTCTCTCTCTCACACTCACATACACACACACACAGATAGAGAGAGACTTAGACAGACAGAGGTACTCATCTCACCATAAGAGAGGTTACTTCATCCAAGTCAAAGTCCAGCATGACCTCCTTCAGCGTGTTGCTGATAGTCAGCTTCACCCTCTCCCTCTCACAACTGCATAAAAGTTGCAACAATTTACAACCATGTTACAACACAAGCTTTCACTTCTACAGAAGGCATTGGAAATGTTACAACTTTGTTACTCCACAAAGGTTTGCTTCTAGCCAAGGGGCTCGAAAAGTTAAAATTTTTGTACAACACAAGATTTCATTTCTAGAGGTGCTGGAGAAGTAACAACTTTATTACAACACAAGCTTTTACTTCTACCATGGGTTGGACAAGTAACAACTATGTTACAACAAAAACATTCACTTCTACAAAAGGCATTGAAAAAGCTACAACTTTGTTACGACACAAGATTTCACTTCTACACAGGGGCAGGAAAGTTACAACTTTGTTGGAAGCTTTTACTTCTACAGAAGGGGCTTGAAAAGTTACAATTTTGTTACACTAGAAGCTTTCATCTGCCTGAACTTGTAGTAGTATTGTGGTGAATATTTCTACCCACAGAGTTGCTGTGTTCATCCTGATAAGTGATATTAATGTTAACTCCTTTTGTCTTCACAATTTTTACTTAACTCTTCAACAACACACATGTGTGGACTAAACCAAGTGCCGAACGTATCCTGCAGGACCGTCCTCTATTCTCTGAGCTCAGAAACAGACCCACTGGATCCAGCTATCTAACTGGACCCAGCCATCTCACTGGATCCAGCTATCTCAGTGGTCAGTGGATCCAGCTATCTCAGTGGATCCAGCTATCTCAGTGGATCCAGCTATCTCAGTGGATCCAGCTATCTCAGTGGATCCAGCTATCTCAGTGGATCCAGCTATCTCAGTGGATCCAGCTATTTCAGTGGATCCAGCCATCTCAGTGGATCCAGCCATCTCAGTGGATCCAGCCATCTCAGTGGATCCAGCCATCTCACCAGATCTGGATCTGGACAGCATGAAGAGCTGTGCACAGTTGCACCTGCAAGAGTCTGTCACTTGCTGAAACTTCAAACATCTGCTACATCTGATCTGGCTGACACTGGCAGCTCAGCTGCTGTAGCACAACATGGCCAGTAGGAAGAGGAGTCTGTGGCACACTTGCAGACGTACCAGACAGACGGCTCGAGTCTGTGGCACACTTGCAGACTTACCAGACAGATGGCTTGAGGCTGTGGCACACTTGCAGACGTACCAGACAGATGGCTCGAGTCTGTGGCACACTTGCAGACTAACCAGACAAACGGCTTGAGTCTGTGGCACACTTGCAGACTTACCAGACAGATGGCTCGAGTCTGTGGCACACTTGCAGACTTACCAGACAGACGGCTCGAGTCTGTGGCACACTTGCAGACGTACCAGACAGATGGCTCGAGTCTGTGGCACACTTGCAGACGTACCAGACAGATGGCTCGAGTCTGTGGCACACTTGCAGACAAACCAGACAGATGGCTCGAGTCTGTGGCACACTTGCAGACGTACCAGACAGATGGCTCGAGTCTGTGGCACACTTGCAGACGTACCAGACAGATGGCTCGAGTCTGTGGCACACTCGCAGACGTACCAGACAGATGGCTCGAGTCTGTGGCACACTTGCAGACGTACCAGACAGATGGCTCGAGTCTGTGGCACACTTGCAGACGTACCAGACAGACGGCTCGAGTCTGTGGCACACTTGCAGACGTACCAGACAGATGGCTCGAGTCTTATGGCACACTTGCAGACTTACCAGACAGATGGCTCGAGTCTGTTGCACACTTGCAGACTTACCAGACAGACAGCTCGAGTCTGTGGCACACTTGCAGACGTACCAGACAGATGGCTCGAGTCTGTGGGACACTTGCAGACGTACCAGACAGATGGCTCGAGTCTGTGGCACACTTGCAGACGTACCAGACAGATGGCTCGAGTCTGTGGCACACTTGCAGACTTACCAGACAGATGGCTCGAGTCTGTGGCACACTTGCAGACTTACCAGACAGATGGCTCGAGTCTGTGGCACACTTGCAGACTTACCAGACAGACGGCTCGAGTCTGTGGCACACTTGCAGACTTACCAGACAGATGGCTCGAGTCCGTTGCACACTTGCAGACTTACCAGACAGACAGCTCGAGTCTGTGGCACACTTGCAGACGTACCAGACAGACAGCTCGAGTCTGTGGCACACTTGCAGACGTACGAGACAGATGGCTCGAGTCTGTGGGACACTTGCAGACGTACCAGACAGATGGCTCGAGTCTGTGGCACACTTGCAGACGTACCAGACAGATGGCTCGAGTCTGATGGCTCATGCTGGTGCTGGCCACGTTTTGCTCTGAGAACATTTTCTGAGATCTTTTTTTAGGTTGGGATGAACTAGGGGTCAAGGTCAATTAAAAATCTGTACCTGCAACTTCTGGCCAACTGGCCATGGGTCAATTGTTTCACAGATACGTATACTAAAACACTGGCTTATGTGACAATTCATATGCAACCTAAAAGTGTACAGTACGTCCAGATGGTGAGAATACCTCATGAATCTATGTGTGTACAAACATAGTGAGTGTATGCGAGCGAGAAAGAGACACATAGACACACACAGACAGAGGGAAAAACTGACAGACGTATGGATGGATGGCCACAAGACACTTCTTGAAATGTTTCCACATTGTATATATTTTTGGGTCTAACAGACAACTAATCTGTACCACTAGCCCGCTCCCATTTTATTTTTATTTTTTAGAACCCTGGTTGTCAGATACAAGATGATAGAAAGGATGAAATAACACTGGTTGCCAGATACAAGACAGAAAGGATGAAAGAACACTGGTTGCCAGATACAAGATGATAGAAAGGATGAAAAAACAGTGGTTGCCAGATACAAGACAGAAAGGATGAAAGAACCCTGGTTGCCAGATACAAGACAGAAAGGATGAAAGAACACTGGTTGCCAGATACAAGACAGAAAGGATGAAAGAACCCTGGTTGCCAGATACAAGAAGATAGAAAGGATGAAAGAACACTGGTTGCCAGATACAAGACAGAAAGGATGAAAGAACCCTGGTTGCCAGATACAAGACAGAAAGGATGAAAGAACCCTGGTTGTCAGATACAAGATGATAAAAAGGATGAAAGAACACTGGTTGCCAGATACAAGATAACAGAAAGGATGAAAGAACACTGGTTGCCAGATACAAGATGACAGAAAGGATGAAAGAACACTGATTGCCAGATGCAAGACAGAAAGGATGAAAGAACCCTGGTTGCCAGATACAAGATGATAGAAAGGATGAAAGAACACTGGTTGCCAGATACAAGACAGAAAGGATGAAAGAACCCTGGTTGCCAGATACAAGAAGATAGAAAGGATGAAAGTACTGGTTGCCAGATACAAGACAGAAAGGATGAAAGAACCCTGGTTGCCAGATACAAGACAGAAAGGATGAAAGAATCCTGGTTGCCAGATGCAAGATGACAGAAAGGATGAAAGAACACTGGTAGCCAGATACAAGACAGAAAGGATGAAAGAAACCTGGTTGTCAGATACAAGGTGACAGAAAGGATAAAAGAACCCTGGTTGCCAGATACAAGACAGAAAGGATGAAAGAAACATGGTTGTCAGATACAAGATGACAGAAAGGATGAAAGAACACTGGTTGCCAGATAAAAGATGACAGAAAGGATGAAAGAACCCTGGTTGCCAGATACAAAATGACAGAAAAGATGAAAGAACCCTGATTGCCAGATACAAGATGACAGAAAGGATGAAAGAACCCTGGTTGCCAGATACAAGATGACAGAAAGGATGGAAGAACACTAGTTGCCAGACACAAAACGACAGAAAGGATGGAAGAACCCTGGTTGCTAACAATGAATACTCCTCCAAATAAAAACTTCACTTGACTGATTGATGTGTAAGTGACTTACTCGTTTGCTTTGACTGAAAGACTTGATGGAGCAAAAATCTCAACTCCTTCCACACTCCTGAAACAATAAAATGGGCATAAACATATAAACAAAGGAGAAATCCAATTGTCTGCCTATGGCTAATTTCTCTAGAATGTATAAAAGACATCCAAGTAGACTGTCAGTGATACGTCCTTGCACTGTCGACTACTGCAGACAGTCGGCTCTAAGTGCTGCAAGCCAGATCATATCCCAGGGGTATACGCTGACAAAAACCATATTCTCCATGAAGCTTTGGATACAGCTAAGGGACACAATCAGAGGAAAGTCTTGAAAGGTGAAATCAGAATATTCAATTAGAGGTAAGTGTGTGTGCTAGAGAAAATTGGAAGAAAAGAGAGTCAAAATGTCAGAGCACCAAAACAAACAAACAAACAAAAAACAAAAACAGGCTTGTGTAGGGTTATCACACTTGGCCAGGAGTGCATGTATTGGCCAGCAGGCACTGAAGAATTAGAAACTTAACAAATGATTCATGATAATTCCCATCCAGGTGATGTGATAATCTATACAGGTGGCTCTGTGTTGAGAGGCTGAAGGGGTATCTGGGGTTTCATTGTGAAAGCCAATGCTTAGTGCAACAAAGTCTAGCATATGATTTTACAACATCTAGTATGAGACAAGCATGCTTTATGCAGAGTGGCAAGCATCGCTTCAGTGGTGCCTGGTAGTTATTTTTATTTGGATATTTCTCCGGGCTATGCAGGAGTGTTGGGCAGTTAACATGCAGACAGACTAGCTGGTTCTGCACCGATAGGTGGTGAATTTTTGCATAACAAGCTAGATGTGGTCAAGGTACTTTGGGAGAAAGTGAACCATGAGGAGGCATCAATAGATCATTATCGTCTGGAGAGAATGGTACAACTAGGAGTAACCAGGAGATCTGACTGGCAAGCCACACTCTGAGAAAAGGCAAAGACGTGCATATAACCAAATTGCTACTGGCACCATCGGAATTGTTATTCTTCACTGGCTGCTGAAAATGAGGCCGGAGTGCTTTTGGGAATGTCCCGAGCTCTGTGATGTAAGTTCTGAGCTCAAAAGCCAACTCAAAGCTCTGTTTGTCACCATGCCCATCAATGTCATGGCTCACAGTTTCAATAAATGATGTAGCTGGCAATTGACTCATGTATTGTCTTCAATGTCCTCATATTTTGTATATAGCAGACAATATCTTCAGACAGCAACTATCATCTTGCTATACTGTCGGATGTTGTCTCGGGTCCATATCGGTTATCTAATGCAACATAATGGGTAATGAGGTCAACATCTTGCCAGACACATTGCCTTCTAAACATTGACATGCAATATATCAGCCTGGAAGCTGCCACGGTGTAGTGGCTAGACACTTGTCTGTAGCTTTGACATGTTGTAGTGACTAGACACTTGCCTGTAACTCTGACATGTTGTAGTGACTAGACACTTGCCTGTAACTCTGACATGGTGTAGTAACTAGACACTTGCCTGTAACTCTGACATGTTGTAGTGACTAGACACCTGCCTGTAGCTCTGACATGGTGTAGTGACTAGACACTTGCCTGTAACTCTGACATGGTGTAGTGACTAGACACGTGCCTGTAACTCTGACATGGTGTAGTGACTAGACACGTGCATGTAACTCTGACATGGTGTAGTGACTAGACACTTGCCTGTAACTCTGACATGGTGTAGTGACTAGACACTTGTCTGTAACTCTGACATGGTGTAGTGACTAGATACCTGCCTGTAGCTCTGTCATGGTGTAGTGACTAGACACTTGCCTGTAGCTCTGACATGGTGTAGAGACTAGACACTTGCCTGTAACTGTCATGGTGTAGTGACTAGACACTTGCCTGTATCTCTGACATGGTGTAGTGACTAGACACTTGCCTGTAGCTCTGTCATGGTGTAGTGACTAGACACTTGCCTGTAGCTCTGACATGGTGTAGTGACTAGACACTTGCCTGTAGCTTTGACATGTTGTAGTGGCTGGACACTTGTCTGTAACTCTGACATGTTGTAGTGGCTAGACACTTGTCTGTAGCTCTGACATGGTGTAGTGGCTAGACACTTGCCTGTAACTCTGACATGATGTAGTGAGTAGACACTTGTCTGTAACTCTGACATGGTGTAGTGACTAGACACTTGCCTGTAACTCTGACATATTGTAGTGGCTAGACACTTGCCTGTAGCTCTGACATGATGTAGTGACTAGACACTTGCCTGTAACTCTGACATGGTGTAGTGGCTAGACACTTGCCTGTAACTCTGACATGGTGTAGTGGCTAGACACTTGCCTGTAACTCTGACATGGTGTAGTGACTAGACACTTGCCTGTAACTCTGACATGGTGTAGTGACTAGACACCTGCCTGTAGCTCTGTCATGGTGCAGTGGCTAGACACTTGCCTGTAGCTCTGACATGGTGTAGTGACTAGACACCTGCCTGTATCTCTGACATGTTGTAGTGGCTAAACACTTGTCTGTAGCTCTGACATGGTGTAGTGACTAGACACTTGCCTGTAACTCTGACATGGTGTAGTGACTAGACACTTGCCTGTAACTCTGACATGGTGTAGTGACTAGACACCTGCCTGTAGCTCTGTCATGGTGCAGTGGCTAGACACTTGCCTGTAGCTCTGACATGGTGTAGTGACTAGACACCTGCCTGTATCTCTGACATGTTGTAGTGGCTAAACACTTGTCTGTAGCTCTGACATGGTGTAGTGACTAGACACTTGCCTGTAACTCTGACATGGTGTAGTGACTAGACACTTGCCTGTAGCTGTCACGGTGTAGTGACTAGACACTTGTCTGTAGCTCTGACATGTTGTAGTGGCTGGACACTTGCCTGTAACTCTGACATGGTGTAGTGACTAGACACTTGCCTGTAACTCTGACATGGTGTAGTGACTAGGCACTTGCCTGTAACTCTGACATGGTGTAGTGGCTAGACACTTGTCTGTAACTCTGACACGGTGTAGTGACTAGACACTTGTCTGTAGCTCTGACATGGTGTAGTGACTAGACACTTGTCTGTAACTCTGACATGGTGTAGTGAATAGACACTTGTCTGTAACTCTGACATGGTGTAGTGGCTAGACACTTGTCTGTAACTCTGACATGGTGTAGTGATTAGACACTTGTCTGTAACTCTGACATGTTTTAGTGGCTAGACACTTGTCTGTAACTCTGTCACGGTGTAGTGACTAGACACTTGCCTATAGCTCTGTCATGGTGTAGTGACTAGACACTTGCCTTTAGCTCTGTCATGTTGTAGTGACTAGACACCTGCCTGTAGCTCTGTCATGGTGTAGTGGCTAGACACTTGCCTGTAGCTCTGTCATGGTGTAGTGACTAGACACTTGCCTTTAGCTCTGTCATGTTGTAGTGACTAGACACCTGCCTGTAGCTCTGTCATGGTGTAGTGGCTAGACACTTGCCTGTAGCTCTGACATGGTGTAGTGACTAGACACCTGCCTGTAACTCTGACATGTTGTAGTGGCTAGACACTTGTCTGTGGCTCTGACATGGTGTAGTGACTAGACACTTGCCTGTAACTCTGACATGGTGTAGTGACTAGACACTTGCCTGTAGCTGTCACGGTGTAGTGACTAGACACTTGTCTGTAGCTCTGACATGTTGTAGTGGCTGGACACTTGCCTGTAACTCTGACATGGTGTAGTGACTAGACACTTGTCTGTAACTCTGACATTTTGTAGTGGCTAGACACTTGTCTGTAGCTCTGACATGTTGTAGTGGCTAGACACTTGTCTGTAACTCTGACATGGTGTAGTGACTAGACACTTGCCTGTAACTCTGACATGGTGTAGTGACTAGACACTTGCCTGTAACTCTGACATGGTGTAGTGACTAGACACTTGTCTGTAACTCTGACATTTTGTAGTGGCTAGACACTTGTCTGTAGCTTTGACATGTTGTAGTGACTAGACACTTGCCTGTAACTCTGACATGTTGTAGTGACTAGACACTTGCCTGTAACTCTGACATGGTGTAGTAACTAGACACTTGCCTGTAACTCTGACATGTTGTAGTGACTAGACACCTGCCTGTAGCTCTGACATGGTGTAGTGACTAGACACTTGCCTGTAACTCTGACATGGTGTAGTGACTAGACACGTGCCTGTAACTCTGACATGGTGTAGTGACTAGACACATGCCTGTAACTCTGACATGGTGTAGTGACTAGACACTTGCCTGTAACTCTGACATGGTGTAGTGACTAGACACTTGTCTGTAACTCTGACATGGTGTAGTGACTAGATACCTGCCTGTAGCTCTGTCATGGTGTAGTGACTAGACACTTGCCTGTAGCTCTGACATGGTGTAGAGACTAGACACTTGCCTGTAACTGTCATGGTGTAGTGACTAGACACTTGCCTGTATCTCTGACATGGTGTAGTGACTAGACACTTGCCTGTAGCTCTGTCATGGTGTAGTGACTAGACACTTGCCTGTAGCTCTGACATGGTGTAGTGACTAGACACTTGCCTGTAGCTTTGACATGTTGTAGTGGCTGGACACTTGTCTGTAACTCTGACATGTTGTAGTGGCTAGACACTTGTCTGTAGCTCTGACATGGTGTAGTGGCTAGACACTTGCCTGTAACTCTGACATGATGTAGTGAGTAGACACTTGTCTGTAACTCTGACATGGTGTAGTGACTAGACACTTGCCTGTAACTCTGACATATTGTAGTGGCTAGACACTTGCCTGTAGCTCTGACATGGTGTAGTGACTAGACACTTGCCTGTAACTCTGACATGGTGTAGTGGCTAGACACTTGCCTGTAACTCTGACATGGTGTAGTGGCTAGACACTTGCCTGTAACTCTGACATGGTGTAGTGACTAGACACTTGCCTGTAACTCTGACATGGTGTAGTGACTAGACACCTGCCTGTAGCTCTGTCATGGTGTAGTGGCTAGACACTTGCCTGTAGCTCTGACATGGTGTAGTGACTAGACACCTGCCTGTATCTCTGACATGTTGTAGTGGCTAAACACTTGTCTGTAGCTCTGACATGGTGTAGTGACTAGACACTTGCCTGTAACTCTGACATGGTGTAGTGACTAGACACTTGCCTGTAGCTGTCACGGTGTAGTGACTAGACACTTGTCTGTAGCTCTGACATGTTGTAGTGGCTGGACACTTGCCTGTAACTCTGACATGGTGTAGTGACTAGACACTTGTCTGTAACTCTGACATTTTGTAGTGGCTAGACACTTGTCTGTAGCTCTGACATGGTGTAGTGACTAGACACTTGCCTGTAACTCTGACATGGTGTAGTGACTAGACACTTGCCTGTAACTCTGACATGTTGTAGTGACTAGACACCTGCCTGTAGCTCTGACATGGTGTAGTGACTAGACACTTGCCTGTAACTCTGACATGGTGTAGTGACTAGACACGTGCCTGTAACTCTGACATGGTGTAGTGACTAGACACGTGCCTGTAACTCTGACATGGTGTAGTGACTAGACACTTGCCTGTAACTCTGACATGGTGTAGTGACTAGACACTTGTCTGTAACTCTGACATGGTGTAGTGACTAGATACCTGCCTGTAGCTCTGTCATGGTGTAGTGACTAGACACTTGCCTGTAGCTCTGACATGGTGTAGTGACTAGACACTTGCCTGTAACTGTCATGGTGTAGTGACTAGACACTTGCCTGTATCTCTGACATGGTGTAGTGACTAGACACCTGCCTGTAGCTCTGTCATGGTGTAGTGACTAGACACTTGCCTGTAGCTCTGACATGGTGTAGTGACTAGACACTTGCCTGTAGCTCTGACATGTTGTAGTGGCTGGACACTTGCCTGTAACTCTGACATGGTGTAGTGACTAGACACTTGTCTGTAACTCTGACATTTTGTAGTGGCTAGACACTTGTCTGGAGCTCTGACATGGTGTAGTGACTAGACACTTGTCTGTAATGCTGACATGGTGTAGTGACTAGACACTTGCCTGTAGCTCTGACAAGGTGTAGTGACTAGACACTTGTCTGTAGCTCTGACATGGTGTAGTGACTAGACACTTGCCTGTAGCTCTGTCACGGTGTAGTGACTAGACACTTGCCTGTAACTCTGACATGGTGTAGTGACTAGACACTTGACTGTAGCTCTGTCACGGTGTAGTGACTAGACACTTGCCTGTAACTCTAACATGATGTAGTGACTAGACACTTGCCTGTAGCTCTGACATGGTGTAGTGACTAGATACCTGCCTGTAACTCTGTCATGGTGTAGTGACTAGACACTTGCCTGCAGCTCTGTCATGGTGTAGTGACTAGACACTTGCCTGTAACTCTGACATGGTGTAGTGACTAGACTTTGAAGGTCAAAGGTTCAGTACCTGATGAAGCCTCCCCCCCCCCCTCCCAAAAAAAAATGACCTTGCCAACCCAGCCTTAAATGGGTGTCAGGTAAAGTCCTGTGAAATAAAGGTGGCCAGTGCAATGCTGATCACAAGACCCCTGAGTGCCGATTGGTCTGTATGATACAGGTCTTGCCCTATATGCCTGAAGGCGTGGAAAAGGTCCTTTAATTTTATATCATCCTGCAAGTATGACCACATTTTTATTTTTTTATTTTTTTAAACGAGAAATTCACCTTTTTATCAAGGTTGACTTTTCTATTGGGCCAAATATTATTTAAAGGATCAGAACAGGACATGAAAACCCAATAAGTTACATCTAGACAAAGTTAATGATTTCTTCTGCAACGTGAGGGTGTCGGCAAGCACCTGATGAATACAGCCTACACAGATCTAGTCTCAGGTTAAATGAAGCAACACAAGTCTGCAGATGGCTAAACAGTTCATAGAAGACACTCTTCTTCTTCTTCAGCGATCTCTGGTCATGCGCATAATCCACTGGGGTCATAAACTGGGATGTCTTTTCAAGGTCTCTTAGGTTTCCCCAAAGCTTAGTTGTCAGTTCTACTGGGTGTTGCCATATGTTGCTCCGCAGCTCTGCCAGGAGAGGACATTCTTGCAGGACATGTTCTGGAGTCTGTTCAGCACGAAGACACTGGCAGAGAGCTGTTTGGCTCATATCTAATTTATATGAGTGTTTATTGAGTTTGCAGTGTCCAGTACGTAAGATAGAAGACACCTAACATCTGCATTTGTCTATAGAAGACACAAAACTGCAGACAAATGCAGACGTTAGGTGAAGAAAAGAAGATCCAACTGGACCCAACCTGGAGCTCTTTAACAATCAATCAGGGGCAAAGTCTACAATAAAGATTAGCTGCAATTGATCTCTGGCACTCTTTTTGTTCACTGGGGATGTACACTACAACAGACTGACATCTTGGTATTATCCTTCCACTTGTATCCCGGGCTACCCCTCTGTTCAAGTGGCCAAGATTTCTTTCAACAGTGAGACATGAAAACACAGAACCTACCACTGGCAGACACGAGACAAATCTCTGATATCAATACGAGACTTGTAATAGCCGACCCAGGTGTGTGTCAGACCATCAGCTATGTAATTCATGTCCTCGGCAATCCGAAGAGCTTTATAAAGACTTTGTATGGCTGACCTGTAAAACAACCAGTTTAAAATTATTATTTTTAATGATGGCTTAATATAAATACGTAAATAAACAAACAAAAATTAACCCTTTTCAATCCATGGATGGCTCAAAAAAGGATACATGAACCGAAATAAACAAAACAAAAGTGACTGTTGCAGTCCAATGATGGCTCTATCAAGGACACATAAACTCAACACACACAAACACAAAAGTTGTTCTTTCATTGCAGGAGTTGGCAACATGAATTTTAGTAGCTGCATCATGACATATCCAGTCCTCAAATCTGATGCAGATGTTCTCAGCCAACACAAAACTGCCTTTGTTCCTCAGGTTCCATACTCTCCAATGTGGTGGCCACAATGTTCAACTGTTTGCTAAGCTGATATACTGCTGACTGGGACCACATACTGCTGACTGGGACCACATACTGCTGACTGGGACCACATACTGCTGACTGGGACCACATACTGCTGACTGGGACCACATACTGTTGACTGGGACCACATTCTGCTGACTGGGACCACATACTGCTGACTGGGACCACATACTGCTGACTGGGACCACATACTGTTGACTGGGACCACATACTGCTGACTGGGACCACATACTGTTGACTGGGACCAAATAGTGCTGACTGGGACCACATACTGCTGACTGGGACCACATACTGCTGACTGGGACCACATTCAAGTCACAAAAATACATTTGGAGCAGGACAACATATTCAAAAAGGTCTCCCTGAAATGCTGACAGAAGTGCATGTGACAGCAGACTATTTTAAAGGGGGTTAAGATTTGAGACCAGGTGAGTAATATTATCCGTGCAGTCAAGACACAACAGCAGACTACTGGTCAATATGGAGGATAGGTTGTTCACTGTTTATAGCTGGGCATATTTTTGCTTCTGACAATAGTTGGATGTGCATTTTGTGCATGACACTGTGAGCTGTGGATTTCAGCTTGAATGGGTTTTGTTTACTGCATGTAATGTGGTATGTGTACTGAAATGTAGATTCTTAAAATGGGAGTGGCCTGTTGCTACAGAGTTGGTGGTGCCTTATGTGATTAATTGTGTGTGCAACTACTGACCTGTAGTCACTACTGCTTAGTTCGATGATAATCTGCATTACTAGTATCGGACTGTTTGTGTTAGCACTTCTGATGGCACATTATGCATGTACTGCTTGTGTATGCTACTGAATATGCTGAGACTGCAATTGGTGTCAATTTTTCCGCAAGAGACAGTGATGTTTACTATGAAGTTGAAACTGGGATTACCTGATCAATGTAAATATTTGGATTTGTAACATAGGTGGTTGTGAATCTTGTCAAGTTTTCTCTGTTGTAACATAGGTGGTTGTGAATCTTGTCAAGTTCTCTCTGTTGTAACATAGGTGGTTGTGAATCTTGTCAAGTTCTCTCTGTTGTAACATAGGTGGTTGTGAATCTTGTCAAGTTTTCTCTGTTGTAACATAGGTGGTTGTGAATCTTGTCAAGTTTTCTCTGTTGTAACATAGGTGGTTGTGAATCTTGTCAAGTTCTCTCTGTTGTAACATAGGTGGTTGTGAATCTTGTCAAGTTTTCTCTGTTGTAACATAGGTGGTTGTGAATCTTGTCAAGTTCTCTCTGTTGTAACATAGGTGGTTGTGAATCTTGTCAAGTTCTCTCTGTTGTAACATAGGTGGTTGTGAATCTTGTCAAGTTTTCTCTGTTGTAACATAGGTGGTTGTGAATCTTGTCAAGTTCTCTCTGTTGTAACATAGGTGGTTGTGAATCTTGTCAAGTTTTCTCTGTTGTAACATAGGTGGTTGTGAATCTTGTCAAGTTCTCTCTGTTGTAACATAGGTGGTTGTGAATCTTGTCAAGTTTTCTCTGTTGTAACATAGGTGGTTGTGAATCTTGTCAAGTTTTCTCTGTTGTAACATAGGTGGTTGTGAATCTTGTCAAGTTCTCTCTGTTGTAACATAGGTGGTTGTGAATCTTGTCAAGTTCTCTCTGTTGTAACATAGGTGGTTGTGAATCTTGTCAAGTTTTCTCTGTTGTAACATAGGTGGTTGTGAATCTTGTCAAGTTTTCTCTGTTGTAACATAGGTGGTTGTGAATCTTGTCAAGTTCTCTCTGTTGTAACATAGGTGGTTGTGAATCTTGTCAAGTTTTGTCTGTTGTAACATAGGTGGTTGTGAATCTTGTCAAGTTTTCTCTGTTGTAACATAGGTGGTTGTGAATCTTGTCAAGTTTTCTCTGTTGTAACATAGGTGGTTGTGAATCTTGTCAAGTTCTCTCTGTTGTAACATAGGTGGTTGTGAATCTTGTCAAGTTCTCTCTGTTGTAACATAGGTGGTTGTGAATCTTGTCAAGTTCTCTCTGTTGTAACATAGGTGGTTGTGAATCTTGTCAAGTTTTCTCTGTTGTAACATAGGTGGTTGTGAATCTTGTCAAGTTTTCTCTGTTGTAACATAGGTGGTTGTGAATCTTGTCAAGTTCTCTCTGTTGTAACATAGGTGGTTGTGAATCTTGTCAAGTTTTCTCTGTTGTAACATAGGTGGTTGTGAATCTTGTCAAGTTTTGTCTGTTGTAACATAGGTGGTTGTGAATCTTGTCAAGTTTTCTCTGTTGTAACATAGGTGGTTGTGAATCTTGTCAAGTTCTCTCTGTTGTAACATAGGTGGTTGTGAATCTTGTCAAGTTTTCTCTGTCACTGATTTGACTCGGCTGAATATGTAGATTCTAAAATGACACAAAATGGGTGGTACTTACCACATTGCTTGAACTGAGACTGGTTTGAATAGATAAGACAACTCATCTGTGCACAGACTGAAGCCCCTAGAATAGACAACAGAAAGCAAGAGAACAATGAGGATGCAAGCCAGTGCAACATACAATTTGTGACAATGGCCCAAATAATTACTCACGGTAAAATGGAAAATATCATTTTAGCTGATTCTTAAACATGACAAATGTCATTTCTGTAGCAGCTCTCCGTGGCGGTTCCGGGACTCCTTTTTTTGGTTTGGGGAAGAAGGATGGGGGGGGGGGGGTGGGGTGGGGGGGTGTGGAAAGAACAGACACACTAACCCCTAACAAGCATATCCTAAAAGTTGACTAATTAGGGGTGTTTCCTTCAAAGACAGAGTGAATCTGCCTGAGAGGTGAGGAACCAACAGTCTGCATACAGATAAGTTTGATTTGTGCAGGCAAACTCAAGTTCTGGAACAAGACCAAAGACCAGAAGTGGGTGAACAACCAGAACCTTTTGCTGGAGTTTACAGCCGGTGAACCTGAAGAAGAAGAAGATTTCTGTCACATCAGTGAATTAAAGGTCACATCGTGTTAAGTCAAAGCCACACTACTGTCACATCAGTAAGGACAAGGTCACGTTACTATCAGTTCAGTAAAGCCAAGGTCACATCAGTAAAGATTGCATCAGTAAAGTCAAGGTCACATCAGTAAAGATTGCATCAGTAAAGTCAAGGTCACATCAGTAAAGATTGCATCAGTAAAGTCAAGGTCACATCAGTAAAGATTGCATCAGTAAAGCCAAGGTCACATCAGTAAGGATTGCATCAGTAAAGCCAAGGTCACATCAGTAAATGGGTAGGAGATTTGGCAGGCAGGTAAGCTTGTAACCTTTAACCTCTTTCTGTGCTTGAGTAGGTGGACAAACTTGTAGACAGACTAGAAGGTAGGGTGCAAACTTACTAGGGTGACCCTGTGTCCCATTTTTACATTTTTTACATTGTGCCCCGGCTGTCTCGTAAGTATCAAAAAAAAAAGTCAATTTTTCTATTGTCTAAAAATCTAGGAATTAGCTCGAGAATAACACTGATAACATACACTTATAGCTACATAAATAAACCTTATGAGATTTCATTGTGTCTAATGACTGAAATTTGTTGGTGGCAATTTTCATTTCAGCGTGTTTGTTTTCTCCCGGTGTAGTTAGAGAGCATTCTGTTTTGTTTTATGTCTTAGTGACCATGGATGGGTTTTAATACCGTTGTCAAGTGAATAATCAACCCTCTCAACCAGTGACCTGAAAGACTGAAGGAAAAAGGGGAGGGTGAAACTTGCCTGAGATGTTCATTTTCAGTGCAAAAAGCTAGTAGGGTGTCCTGTTGTCAGTTCAAGATATTCTAGTCATCCTGAGACTTACCCATCTCCACCCAGCTTGATTCTCAGCCCCATCCACATTGGCAGCACCAGGCCAATAGAAGCAGAGGTGCCGGTGCAGTCAATGCCGAGGACTACAGCTTCTTCTGTGTCTTGTCTGCCTTTGGATGACACCAGAGCAATGTAACGTTGGAACTGAGACGTGTCCTCCAGTCTCACTGCCTGCACCAGACAGAATATGAACATCAGCATCACAGTTTGTGCTATAATATGGGTATCAATCTAAGCTATAATAAGAACATGTGCATCAGTCTATGCCATACTTTGAGCGTGGGTATCACAGTCTATTCTATACTATGAGCGTGGGTATCACAGTCTATTCTATACTATGAGCATGGGTATCACAGTCTATGCTATACTATAAGCTTGGGTATCACAGTTTATGCTATACTATCAGCACTGGTATCATGAGCTATATGTTATAAGATGAACATGGGCGTTATCGTCCACATTTTATATCTACATATAAGTGCTGTACAGAAATACCCCTCGCCGGGCGTCATGCTAGACTATAATCCACTTACTGGGGCAGCATCATATACCCAAAACATATGAATGCATGGAAAACCTTTGTTTTGACTGAACTTACCTGTTTATCTATATTTGAACTTCTGTGGTGTAGCGGCTAGATGCTTGCCTCGAAGAGATGATGGTCAACAGTTTTGTAGCAGTCGTTACATAGCTGGCACTCAAAGAGATGATGGTCAACAGTTTTGTAGCAGTCGTTACATAGCTGGCACTCAAAGAGATGATGGTCAACAGTTTTGTAGCAGTCGTTACATAGCTGGCACTCTGGGCAGTGTTGTGGCTGTATTCTGTTTAGGTGTCCATTGAGTGGAGTGTGTTGCGTTCTAAGTCTGAAGATGGTGGCCTGGTCTCTTCTTGTTAAATGGTTAATACTGTCATTAGGATCAGGGCTAGTCATGAGTCTATAAACCTCTCGCAACTATCTTGGAAAAGTTATAACATCTAACCGAAGATGCCCTAACAGAAATAAGAACAAGAACTGATATGATAAAAAGGAGAATACACTGAACAATGAAACACCGTCAACTGAAGTGAGAAAATGTGTTCAAGTGCTGTTTGTGAAATGGACAACAAGCTGACTTTTCTAACAACTTCTTACCTGTCCTCAGAAACCACAATATGCAATGATCATTTGAGACTGCTGGATGTGTTCACTGACTACAGTTTGGGATAAACAAGGAAGACAGAACTGGTACGTACAATTTTAATAGTATCCTCTGGTCGCAGGAGATTGAGCATGGCTTGAAGATGGTTCTGGATTTCTCCTGCAAAAATGTCAACAACAAGTTACAGTCAAGTCCTCACCATGGACAGGACAACAACAGTGGTGAGAATACAAGATATCACTTAAGTTACAGTCAAGTCATGGCCATGGAAAGGACAGCTACAGTTAGAATACAAGACATCACTTAAGTTACATTAGGGCACCCCTTATAGCTAATCAGTGTTGTGTAACCTGCAGTCCCCTACACGTAAGGACAGACCATCATTAGGACACCCCACATAGCTAATCAGTGTTGTGTAACCTACAGTCCCCTACAGGTAAGGACAGACCATCATTAGGACACCCCACATAGCTAATCAGTGTTGTGTAACCTACAGTCCCCTACAGGTAAGGACAGACCATCATTAGGGCACCCCTCATAGCTAATCAGTGTTGTTTAACTTGCAGTCCCCTACAGGTGAAGACTGTGAGGGGACAAACTGACAGCTATACAATGTCACCTTCATGTTTCTTCTTTGTAGAAAAAAAGAGAGTTGGCAAAGAACAATTGGCAATGAGAACTATCATAAATGAACTGGAACTCTCATGTATAGGAAGATTATCATTGACAGTTAAAGCTAAACCACAAGTGTACCTCCATGGTTCTTCTTGGTTGTCTTCTTGGTGCACTCGGTGTGTGGCAGAATCAGTGCCGCTCCCTTGATCGTGAAGTAACTCTCACTGAGGCTGGGTCAAGCAGAAACATGAGACAATATTTACTGGAGACACAAGATTTGTAAGCAGCAAACAACACGACTGAATGTGTGGTATCAAAAGCCATTACTGAACCAGTAATACTGTAATGTAACATGAATGGCATAACAAGTTACTAAGCATGGTTAGCATTTGAATCTTATCCCACAAAGAACTTTAGCTTTAAAATACAATTAATCATGAAATAAAATTATAAAAGGCATGAAGTGTGAGTTCATTGGAGGGCTTGTCTCTTTCCTGCTGAAATATGATTATACAATGTCAACCTCAGTCAAGGGCTTGTCTCTTTCCTGCTGAAATATACATCGAGATTGACCTCAAGCTGAACCAGGGCAGAAAATGCTGAAAATTGAATACAGCCGACATTTAAATCAGAGCTTGCACCTGATGATAATAGTCAAGTGGAGCAGTGGGTGTAGAATGACTAATGAACTTGAAACATGGTCTCAGTGATACTGGGTTCAAACCCTGATTCGCAGGTTGACTCAGTTTCATAAACTACTTAACACAGAAGGTCGGCCATAAAGAGTCTCATACACACTCTCTCCTGCATCTTCAGGATACTCTCCGATAAACATCTTCCACTGCCCCATTTTACACCGTCTGTCTCTTGTCTGCTTTCCCTCACTCTTCCCTCACACATGCTTCTTTGTATGGACAAATTACTGAGTTGTCTACCCATGATTTCATTTAGTGAATGAAGTCTTATATAATCGCAGTCGGTGTTTATAATATAATATAATATAATATAATATAATATAATATAATATAATATAATATAATATAATATAATATAATATAATATAATATAATATAATATAAAATAATATATGTTGGTTGCCTCGATATGATATTGTCACATCTGTTTCTACAACCAGATTTCCTAAATGATCTTATAGTCTGTGGTTTGCTCAAGATAACTTTTTGTGACATAAAAAAAAAAGGTGCTTAATAACATACTCCGGCACACTCACAATTGTGCTCAATTTTCAGCCAGTTTACTGAAACCTATATTGTTGCAAAGAAAATGAGCAAAAATATTAGTCACAGAAATAAGAGCAGGCAGTCAGTCAGTAAGTATACAACAAATATTCACGTCTAGCAAGTAATAATTAGGTACAAACTCATACTCGCACACACACAAACAAACATGTAGCTGTACCATGCTGCCAACTAAACTGTTTGAAAATAGCAAACCATCAAAGAAAAACACACCAAAAATCCTAATAATGCACTATATAGAGAACAAAACATCCACAAATGACCTCAATACAGCTACCCAGTAACAGTTCATTTGAAGAAGCAGATAGTTTTCCTAAAGAAAATAAACAACATGGGTTGTAACCAAAAAAAAATTATCTAGGCTGTGTAGACACAAGTGTCTCAGATTATGTAGACACAAGTGTCTCGGGTTATGTAGACACAAGTGTCTCGGGTTATGCAGACACAAGTGTCTCGGGTGATGTAGACACAAGTGTCTCGGGTTATGTAGACGCAAGTGTCTCAGGTTATGCAGACACAAGTGTCTCAGGTTATGCAGACACAAGTGTCTCAGGTTATGTAGACACAAGTGTCTCAGGTTATGTAGACACAAGTGTCTCAGGTTATGTAGACGCAGGTGTCTCGGGTTATGTAGACGCAAGTGCCT